AATTTTTAGTTTAGGACAACAAATTTAAGACTGCCAGCTTAGTCAGTGGATACGGTGGACTGGATCCAAAAAAACTGGTCGTACAGAAAATAAATAGAACCATTTCATCACGGATAGCAATTTCCAATTCCGAGAGGCTTACTTAAGTGTTTTTTTTTCACCACATTTATTCGTTGGATCATTGGTGATTCGGTGCAAATCATCAGATTTAAAGGTTGAAGGATTTGACACATCTTTTCCTTTTTTTTTTCGTTTTGGGGAGAATATGTTTATGTTTATGTTTTATTAAATTTATATACCGCCCTACTCCCGAAGGACTCAGGGCGGTGAACAGGCACAAAATAAAATACATAAATACAAAAGTTGGAAACATAATTAAAACCAAATTAAATAATTTATCCCAAGACAATTAAAAATCCCAATAATTTAAAACAAATTAAAATTTCAATTTAAAAATTTAAAAGAAAGGGGAGAAAATTAGGCCAGCCCGGCTTGCTGGAATAGGAGGGTCTTAAGAGCATGGCGGAAAGTGCGCAGATCCGGGATCCTCCGTATCTCCGGGGGGAGCTTGTTCCAGATAGTGGGTGCCCCAACAGAGAAGGCCCTCCCCCTGGGGGCCGCCAGTCGACACTGCTTGGCTGACGGCACCCGGAGGAGCCCCTCTCTATGAGAGCGTACTGGCCGGTGGGACGCTGTTTGTGGTAGTAAGCGGTCCCGTAAATATATATCCCGTAAATATAGGATCTTTGCACAAATGAAGTAAGGTGCACAGTTTTTTTTAAAAAAAATACAATCTTCCAGATGTTGCTAAGTCACAATTCCCAACAGACCCGCTTAGCATAACCAGTAGTGTGGGATGATGAAAGGTGTATTTCAGCAACAACTGCAGAGCCATTTATTGTGTTCACCTATTTTAAATATGAAAGATTGGGATGTTGAAATGTATCATTTGGTTGCTGAAGTGGCAAGGCCATCCTCGGGGGCTTTGAGATTGCCAGAAAGAGAGTTCAGAGCAGATGCAGCTTAGAGGCCACTTAAAGGTAAAGGTTCCCCTCGCATATATGTGCCGGTCGTTCCCGACTCTAGGGGGCGGTGCTCATCTCCGTTTCAAAGCCGAAGAGCCAACACTGTCCAAAGATGTTTCCGTGGTCTTGTGGCCGGCATGACTAAATGCCAAAGGCACACGGAATGCTGTTACCTTCCCACCAAAGGTGGTCCTTATTTTTTTACTTGCATTTTTTACGTGCTTTCGAACTGCTAGGTTGGCAGAAGCTGGGACAAGTAACGGGAGCTCCCCCCATTACGTGGCACTAGGGTTTCGAACTGTTGAACTGCCGACCTTTCGATCGACAAGCTCAGCGTCTTAGCCACTGAGCCACCGTAGGCCATTTACCTCCACCATAGGCCACTTACCTCCATTTTAAGATTGGCTGCTCATCACTTTCATCATCTTGAAATGGGATTATTTTATATCCCGTACACTTTGAGCAGTTCACTCAGTGTAGCCAAGATCTAAGGTGAACCCCTCAGTGCTTCGGCAAAGTATTGCTGGAAGATGTAGCAGAAAATAATCCCTCATGTTTGAACTGAGTTCGAATTGCACTAAATAAACGCTGTATTGACTGTGCTAGTTGACAATTCTGAGATTGGTGGTATCAATAGAAGCAAATATTGTAGCTCAGGGTTGAAACGAGGGGTCCTTGATGCTCTCTGAGTTTGGTTGTTTTCCTGCAGGCATTTCATTACCCAACTAGGTAACATCATCCGTGCTAGAAGGAGTGGGGTTTTACTCTCTGTTTATATGCAGTGGCTTTCTCTGTCAGTATTGTCGGGAGTGTGATTTTCTTCTTGTTAGTTCCTTGATGAGGCTGTTATTTACTGTTTCATTGGGTTGGTGGTCCCAATACAGATCAACTCTGAAATGGATAAGCCAGAATTTTGTACTTATCTCATCCACTGATCAGAAAGTGGTTCGGTTTATCCTCTCTTCATCTTTGGATTTTACCACAGTGGTGGAATTCAAATTTTTTTACTACCGGTTCTGTGGGTGTGGCTTGGTGGGTATGGCTTGGTGGGTGTGGCTTAATGGGCTTGGCTTGGTGGGCGTGGCAGGGGAAGGATGCTGCAAAATCCCCATTCCCTCCCCGCTCCAGGGGAAGGATACTGCAAAATCCCCATTCCCACCCCACTCTGGGGCCAGCCAGAGGTGGTATTTGTCGGTTCTCTGAACTATTCAAAATTTCCGCTACCAGTTCTCCAGAACCTGCCAGAACCTGCTGGATTTCACCCCCGTTTTACCATCTCATTTCTCCTGAAGTTGTGGACCAGGTTTCAGGTGAAATATTTTATTTGCCTAAGGGAAAGATGTTAGACAATTTATAAAATTTGCGTTAGCCATGAATGTCGAACCATAGCAGCCAAATGTGAACCTCCATATTCAAAGACAGTATACCAGAGACTGGTGAGAAGCCAAAGTCAGCTTTTTAATGATGGATCTGAGAATTTCCCAGGCAGTCTGTCATTTCAAAGTTAAGATGGATGGACCTTGGTTAGTCTGGTCCTGCCTGGCAGTTTTTAAAAGACATTTAAACTCCCCTTCTATCCTCCCACAGATATTCTCCAAATACATAGCCACTTTGTCTAATCTTTATTAAAATGTTGCATTCCTATCGTAGTGGGAATGTCTTAGCCCATTGTGATTGCATGCAAAGAACGGTTGCATTTTTGTTGTGGTCTGCCAGCAGCCTGTGGAGCTGGCAGCAGAGTCGGACAGTGAGGAAGTCCTGGAGTCTGGGAAGGCCCGGATGAGGGCTGTGTGTTGGAGGCAGAGATGGGTCCAGGGCCATTTGGGAGTTATGCGCGGACTCCAGAGCCTCCAGAGTCAGACAGCAGTGAGGCAGAGGAACAGGAGGAGCCTGTTCCTGGTGCATGCATGCACAGAGCTGCCAGAAGGCAAGAGCAGCTAAAGCAAAAGGGACGACTCGGGAGTAAGGCCTAGAGATGATTGGCCCCTCCCATAAGCCTTAAAAGAGAAACAAAGGCACTTGGGCCTTTTGCAGGAAAGCAACGTTGCTAACTCTGTTTCCAGTTGGCATCTCTTTGTTTCTGAACTTCATGGGGCTTTGCCAAGTTAAGGCCTTTGGTAGGGTGTCAAAGAAGATAAAGGTTGGTGATTTTCCCGAAGGACTTCTTCCGAAGGACTTGTTTTGCAACTAATTGGGACTCAGCTGGGAATGAATGAAATTCTCAGCTGTTACAATAAAATAGGGGTTTTTTTTGGGACTAATTGTGAATTGTAATGACTCCGTAAGCCTAGGTCACAACAACTTTGTTGTTGTGGTGGTGGTTGTTACCGCTTAACAATCCTGTATTAAACTCTCCTATTCATCACATGGTTTATCCAGTCTCCCTCTTGAACAACAACAACAAAAAAAAAAGCTTGCCACATTTCACCTACACACAAAATGAATCACCAGCTGCGAAAACCCTTGGCTGGTTCAGAAGGGAGCCATGAGCCTAATTTTCATGCCTAATTCCTGGTAGAAACAGTCACTGCCTCAGACAATAAACATTTTCTGCTCCATAAATCTGATGGCGGGCAGCGTGTGTATGTGTAAGTGATAGATCAACAAACATGCCGGCCCCTCCCTCCAAAAAAAAAAAATGCTATCAGTTTATGGGCAGCTTTTGCAGTATTCCTGGAATCCTAAATGGAAAGAAGAGAATCCCTAAAGGGCTATAAATGCAGAGAGCATTTGTTTGGCAGAGCTGGGCCCCTTCGATTCCAGCTAAAGGACTCGGAGAGCAGATGATCCAATATACCATCTCTCCTTCCTAGAGCTCAGAGGGTTCAACTGATGATTTGCTTAATCATGGTTCATGGAATAAACACAATTGCCCGGGTTCACACAGCACATATGAACCTGAAACGTTTGCAGGTAGCCATATGCGGGGATGGTATTCATTTACTTTCCCTACTGGTTCGCAAATGTGTGCGCACGCACCTGTCCATGCACGCGCCCGGCCTTCCATGCATAATACATAATAATCAGATCCGTTCAAGGTAGCAGTATTCCAATATTAGAGAGGCTGCCACAAAGAAGAGGGGGTCAAGCTATTCTCCAAAGCACCAGAAGGCAGGACAAGAAGCAAAGGATGGAAATGAATCAAGGAGAAAAGCAACTAGAACTAAGGAGAAACTTCCTGACAGTGAGAACAATTAATCAGGGGGTTGGACTAGAAGACCTCCAAGGTCCCTACCCTTATTCTGTTATTGTGTTTATTCCACAATTAGGGTTACACCACCTTTAGGGTAGGGGTGAAATCCAGCAGGTTCTGACAGATTCTGGAGAACTGGTAGTGGAAATTTTGAGTAGTTCGGAGATCTGGCAAATACCACCTCTGGCTGGCCCCCGAGTGGGGTGGGAATGGAGATTTTGCAATATCCTTCCCCCAGGAGTGAGGAGGGAATGGGGATTTGGTAGTATCCTTCCCCTGGAGCAGAATGGGAATGGAGATTTTGCAATATCCTTCCCCCAGGAATGGGGATTTTGCTGTATCCTTCCCCCTGGAGTGGGGAAGGAATGGAGATTTTGCAATATCCTTCCCCTGCCACGCCCACCAAGCCACGCCACGTCCACTAAGCCACGCCCACATAACCGGTAGTAAAAAAAAATTGGATTTCACCACTGCTTTAGGGGATAGTGATTTCCTTGGGAATCAAGGATGTCTATGCACCAACCCCTAAAAAAATTGGGCACGGTTTCAAACACACCCTGGTTGCCTATTATCCTGACTTTTTTGGACCACACCTTGAAGACACCCCTGATGTGAATGAAGAAAGAAAGATAGAAAGAAAACAACAACCGTGGCCAAATTAAAAATGCGCAACCGAGACGCATCACAACCTAGGCACTTTGCCCGCCTCGGAAGCAACATCTAAATTGGGGGGTGGGGGAAAGAAGGCAGACGAGCAGCCTCGGTTGGCAGCCCTGGCTGGCTCCATCTCAGCCCAGCCCCGGCTGAGGACGTGGTGGAAAACCAGCGAAGTCGCTCCCTTTCGTTCCTTAGTCCCTTGGCTAAAAATTGGCAAGCAGAGGGTTGCAGAAGCGACCTTGAGGGAGCTGGTGGGGATGGAGGGGAAACTGTCTACCCTCGGCAAGCTGTGCACACCCTTGATTTATAACCGAGAAATATGCAGCCGATCACTCCCGGCGTGGAGAGGAGCAGCATCTGGAGAGGAGCAAGCATCTGGATGGGATACCTTGACCGGCGCGCATTTCTCAGACCTTGTGTGATTCTTATTATTATTGTTACCGCTGCCTCTTTTTGCAGTCCAGAAACAATAGCTGAGTCCTCTTTAGTCTCTATATACCCTGTAGAGAATTACTGAAATAAAGTCATGTGACGGTCGGAGGGTGTGTTTCCAATTATTGCATTTGAGTCTATCTGCCAGGCCGGCGAAGACAAACAGCCTTCTGAAGGAGTCTGATGGGTTTTTTTCCCTCCCCAGCTTCGTCGTAAGTCCCTTTTCAATGTTTTCCTTTTTTTATTTATTATTTTTAAAGAAAAGAGGGGTTAGGGATGCTTTCCTTTCCCCACTGCAAGAAAAGGATCGGATGGGGAGGGGAGGAAAAAAAAAACAACCTATGGACTCCCTAGATGCTTTGAAGACGCAGCTGATGCTTTTTCCATGGGATCGAGGGAAGGAGGAGAAGGATCCAAAAGGCAGGGAAGGCTGCCAGCCGCCGAGCCCATCGGAATGAGATGCGAGAGGTTGCCTCGGCATCTGCTTTTGAGCCAATCGGCGGAAAAAAAAAAACCCTCGTGTTCCTCCCTTAAGGGAAAGCCTTTAGAAGAGATCTAAAGGCTTTCCCCCCGCAGCTTCCTTAACTCTCTTGCATTTTGGCCTGGCGCTGGGCGCAGGAACAGTTTTTACGCTTTTCTCAAGGGGTCCCTCCAAATGGGAACCAAATGGGAAGGAGGGAAGGGGGTTTGGTCTTCTTTTCCTGGCGCATCGTTTATTGTATTTACTACTTGCAGGAACAAAACAGGTTGGTGTGTGTGTGTGTGTGTGTGTGTGTGTGATTTAGCACAAAAACGAGGGAGGAGGAAGGAGGGGGGATGAGAGAGAGAGAGAGAGAGATCAGCCAAACCAGTTAACATTTGGTTTGGATTACCAAAACAAGGCAAGCGAGAGCTTTGTTCCTTGGCAAGCCAAGGGTTGGGGGGGAAGGACAGGAAAAAGAGAACCAAACTGCAGCGAGTGGGACACGCTGTGCTGGTCAGTGGAGTCTAAAAAGCGTTGCTTATGGGTCAGGTGGACTGACTTCCCCCACTTTTGGAGAAGCATCAGGTTGGTTGGTTCACAAGCGGGACTCTTTTGCTCGCGTGGGCCCTCGTGGTAGGTGCATGGCTGCAGATTTGTGAAGGGGTGAGGGTGGGGAGGGTGTAATAACATGAGATGGATTATTTCCCCCTCCCCTCCTCCTGTTTAAAACCTAGATTCTCCCCCCATTCCGTGTAGCAACCCAGTGAAATGTTTTCATTTTGTGTTAGACCAGCCCAAAGGATGGGTTGGGTTGGGAGGGGGTTTCCCAGCCCACCTCAACCTGTCGGATAAAGAAGTTTTCCAAGCCAAGTCATTAGGAGGAAAAGGGCTTTATTCTGTCTAAATATGGTTTTTCTCCCAAATGCCATCACTCTGCTTAACAACTAATTCCCACAATACTGTCAAATAATTTACTAAGACTGTATTACTATTCTTCTTCTCTTCCTTCCTAGTATCGATCTCTTCCCACTTATGACTATAACCGTGTTGCTTGTATCTTTCAATTTATATTGTTTTTATTGGTTTCCTAGTACGATTTGATCGCTTATTAGTAACCTTGACTATCACTAAGTGTTGTATCTTTTTATTCTTGATGAATGTATTTTATTCTCCTTATGTACACTGAGAGTGTATGCACCGAAGGCAAATTTCTTGTGTGTCCAATCACACTTGGCCAATCAAGAATTCTATTCTATTCTTTCAAACTTCCCTTCTGCTCTTATCTTGCATCCATCTTTTCTTCTATAGCATTTGATCTTCATCTTTTTCCTTTCCCGCCAAGCCCATTGATCATTCCCCCCTCCTCAATTCCTTTCATCACCTGTTAAGATCTTGGAAAGATGGACTGAACCCAGTTGAAGAAAATGGCTGGGGGGGGGCTTCAAGACACGGTTATCCCCCCCCATGTTCCTCTTGTAGATAATTCTGTAGCTTTGATTTCTGATCAGATGGACTTGGTTTATTATTTGAGGTATGATTTTTATAAATCGTTTATTTTATAAATCATGATTTTTATTATTTTTTAAAATTTTTTGATTTGATTTATCTATCAAGGGGATTTGATTTGATATGATTTGATTTATGGTCAGAAGGATTCATTTCTATTTGCAATAAGGTATCTTTTAGAAAACCAGGATGATTATGTAGGATTTAGAGATGATCTGTATATTTAGCAAAGATTACAGGAGGCAAGAGATCCAGTTTTGCTACACGAGACTATCTTTTGTTGATCTGGTTTCTTCAATGTTATGGAGACAATTTTTATAATAGGGAACATACTGCGATTCTCCAAAATTTCCAAAAGGCAAGTTTCAATTTATATTTTACTTTGTGAAGAACAGTAAAAGAGAAAGCTCCTTTGTTTTGACATATTCAGTTGGATCTTGAAGTTTATTCAAACTTCTCCATCCAGAAATCCTGCAATTATAGCATTTTTGACAGATGGCCATTCAGTCTGTGTTTATATTTCTCCGGTGACTATGAGCACACAACTTCCCCAGGCCATCTGTTTTCAGCGCTGAACACTGAACTTGGAAACCAATTCACACAACACAGGAAGCCCACTAAGAAAGTTAACATGAACGTGTGTGTTTTTAGTCTTACTATCCACCCAAAACTCGCATGGCTTTTAAATTATACTCCATACCTTTTTCTAAGGCTAGATTCTCGTCTGGAAAGACCAATATTTACTGCTACACCATCAGGAACTTGAAGCCTATATGTGTGTGTGTGTGTGTGTGTGTGTACGTACGTACCTACGTACATCTATCTATCTATCTATCTATCTATCTATCTATCTATCTATCTATCTTTCTATCTATCTATCTATCTATCTATCTATCTATCTATCTATCTATCATCTATCTATGTGTAGTTTTCAAGTTCTGGTCTGTATGAACTGGAAAAGGCTGGTTAGCTTCTGGTTTAATGTCATGTGGGAAGCCAGAAAATGGCTTAATCCTGCAACAAAGTTAAGCAAGTTGCATGAATAGGGTTTTGATTTTTTTTTCAGAGAGTTGGGGTAGAAAAAAATAACAACCAGGGAGATGAATGAGAAATATGTCTAACTTTTTTTTTTTTTTTTAAAGAATACACAGAGCTATTATCAATGTGATGCCTTGTGACTTGCTGGTTTGGAATTGAAGGCTTCTTGTTCTTTAATGAAATCTAGAGGTGGGTGGTTTAGAAAGAGGAAACATTTTTGTTGATGAATTTCTTTTTCTCATGCCCACCCACTGCCCCCTCCCCTGCATTTCTCTTCCATCTGGATCATCCGTTGCAGGCACTGGAGGAAGTGAACTCAACCGGCATGACCAATTGACCGCCATTTCCTGGGTCTCCAACGATGGAACGGCACAATAGCGCCAAGGGGAGGAAATCCAAAACGCTCCGCTCCATTTCCCGGTCGCTCATCCTCTGCAACGGCAAGACCAGCGACGATGGCTCGAGCCCGGATGATAAATATGCCAACCCTTTTGAGAGCCAAGCCAGCTGGAGTCAGAAAGAGCCATGCCCTCAACTTCAGCTGGCCTGCCCCGCGCCTAGCCAAGACGGCACATCCGATCCTCTGGTGATTGCCAGCATGGTGCAGATGAGGACCAGTGCCAGTGACAGCTGTAAGAACATGAAGAGGAAGTTCTTTATCAAGGTAGGAAGGAGGTCCGTGCCTCTGTTTGCCTGGCATTTGCAATGCTTGGATAGAAATAGCAATAGCTCTTAGGCTTGTATACAGCTTCACGGTGCTTTTACAGCTCTCTCTAAGTGGTTTACAGAGTCAGCCTCTTGCCCCCAACAATCTGGGTCCTCATTTGACCCACCTCGGAAGGGCAGAAGGCTGAGTCAACTTTGAGCCAGTCAGGAATCAAACTCCTGGCAATATGAGCAGAGTTAGGAAGGAAGGAAGGAAGGAAGGAAGGAAGGAAGGAAGGAAGGAAGGAAGGAAGGAAGGAAGGAAGGAAGGAAAGGAAGGAAGGAAGGAAGGAAGGAAGGAAGGAAGGAAGGAAGGAAGGGGAGGGAGGGGAAGGGAAGGGAAGGGAATTAGAGAGCTTTCCAGCCCTCTCTAAGCAGTTTACAGAATCAACCTATTGCCCCCAACAATCTGGGTCCTCATTTGACCCACCTTGGAAGGATGGAAGGCTGAGTCACCCTTGAGCCTGGTGGGATTTGAACTGCCAAATTGGAGGCAGCCGGCAGTCAGCAGAAGTAGCCTGCACTCTAACCACTGCGCCACCGTGGCTCATTAGAGTAAAATCTAAAAGTAATTTGTGTTGGTCTGGGGCTCAAAAAGTTGTTTATATTTGTTTTCTTAGCATAAAAAAGAGTCGAGTATTCAAAGCAAATCCTTATAATATACAACTGTCTTCTCCATATCTGTCACCCAACCTGTTAGCTGTCTACCTTCCTTTTTTTTTTTTTTTTGGTGGTTTACTAGTTCAAGTAAAGATCTACTCCAAAAAAGCCACATTCCAAACTTTACATGAGAATATTAAAAAAAGATGGACCCCATGTAGACAAGAGTCTTGATTGTGAATTAAGAATGATAGCAATAGTACTTAGACTTATATACCACTTTACAGTGCTTTACAGCCCTCTCTAAGCGGTTTACAGAGTCAGCCTCTTGCCCCAAACAATCTGGGTCCTCATTTTACCCACCTGGGAAGGATGGAAGGCTGAGTCAACCTTGAGCCTGGTGAGATTTGAAGTGCCAAATTGCAGGCAGCCGGCAGTCTGCAGAAGTAGCCTGCAGTACTGTACTCTGACCACTGCACCACTGCAGCTCTGGATAAGGGGGTTCTCTCCCCCCCCCGCCTTCTATCACATGTGAGCTGCCTTCCAAACATGGGAATCTGGTGGTGGGGATTGCATTTAAACCGGCAGCACAGATTATATACTCAGGATGTTGCATCTCTATCGGGTTCTTTCAGCTTGGAAAAGGAACAAGAGAACGGCTGTGATGAAAAGCTATTGCAATAGCACACAGAACAGGAGGAAGCTGGGGTCTGGGCAATGAGTTTCTCAGTCTAGGCCAGCTCTGTGGTCCATGGCATTGTCCACAGCATTGGTCATCAGAGCTGAGGATGTTGGAAGCTGTAGCCCAACCTATCTAGGAGGTACAAAGTAATGGAAGCTGGATTGATGGGTTTTTAAGTTTCTTCATGTCTTCCCAACCAGGACAGCTGCATTTGGAAACTCTGCATTGCCACCGGGAATACGGGGCTGGGAATTCAAGTCTGCAGGACTTCCAGTGGCTCTGCTTTTGGTAAAGAGTTCATGGTCAGCCACGTGATTGACGGGGGAGCAGCTCAGAGGTATGTTACAAAATTCCATCAGGAAGCCACATAACCATACTCATTTAGCTCCTTGGTGGTGGCGTTAACGACGATGACATTGAAATGTATACCCTACCTTCCTACTTACCTAAGAGAAGTGAAAATTGTCAGGGTTGTCAAATTTGACCAGGGTTACAATCAAAATTTAGTTATATCTGGTCTCTCTTACTGAATTTTTGCTGATAAAGAACAAATGATGAAACTTTTGGATTTTTAATTAAGAGATGAGTTATGGGATGAAGAGAGTAATGCTATAAAATGTTTTTATTTGATGGGATGAAAGGGGAAGTTTCCTTCCTTCCTTCCTTCCTTCCTTCCTTCCTTCCTTCCCTACATTTTTTTCTTTTGTAGTTGATATTAGTTTTTATTCTTTCTATTTGTAATACTTAATAAAATTATTTGAGAAAAAAACAAAAAAACAGAAGCTGGTTTATTAGCCCCCCCAAATATTCCTTGGCTGTGATCTGAGAGCAATGTTTGCTTGAAAATAATTTGGCCACAGTCTTGTGGTTTGCAAATGTAAATATGACCTGAACAGAAGCAACAGCAGCTCAAAAAGCAGGGACCCCCTTTGAAGCAGCTGCAGGGAGCTGATGACACTCGTTCACAATCCTGCAGGCCTATTGTTGTATTTTCTTTTTTCTTTTTTCCTTTTCTTTTCAAGGGATGGTCGTCTAAGCCCTGGTGATGAGCTTTTAACAGTCAACGGGCAACCCCTTAAAGAGCTCTCCAGCAAAGAGGCTGAATCGCTCATCCAGTCTGCCAGAGGCTTGGTTAATTTAGTGATCGCTAATAAGGTAAGTGGAGTAGTTGAGACGTCTCTGTTCCAATAAAGGAGAATAATAAGTGAGATTTGCAGGGAGGAGGAGGAGGATGGAGGGAGGGGAGAAGGAGTCCTCGGTGGTCTCTGAGCTTGGTGCTTTTTTTGCAGGTGTTTCACTAACCAAACTAGGTAATATCATCAGTGCTAGTAAGGAGTAACATTTGCAGGGGGGAAGAAGAGGAGGGGGAGGAGGAGGAGGAGTCCGTGGTGGTCTCTAAGCTTGGTGCTTTTCTTGCAGGAGTTTCACTACCCAAACTAGGTAACATGATTAGTGCTAGTGCTACTTCTCTGTTCCACTTAGGGCTGGCGGTAGGCTTCTGAAATGAGGTCTCTTTTCATTTTGCCCATTTGCCCATTGTTTCTGCTTTCCAAAAGGGCAGGATAGGTCCAGGGGTTCTTTCTTCTCTCTAGAACAATTGTCCCCATCCCCAGTCCACAGAATGGCACCAGTCTGCCGCATGGCAGAAACCGGGCCACGCAAACAAGCAAAGCCCCATCCGTGGGATGCAGACAGCAAGTTGAAACAACGGCCCCTCCGGTCCGTGGAAAAACTTATCTCCGTGGAACCGGTCCCTGAGGCCCAAAAGGTTGGGGTGTGTGTGTGTGGCACTGCTCTAGAAGAAATAAAACAAGTCAGAGAATGGCAAGACCAAAGAGTTCTGATATTTAGGAGCCCCCCTAACCCTCTTAAGATATTTAGGAGCCCCCCTGATTTCTTTAGCAGCTGCCAAGAGTGCTGATTTTTATTGAACACAAAGCTGTAGGGATTGTATCTATATTCGGGTCGAAAAAACGAAAGCTTTTCCATTTTCCCCTCTGGCACATACCTGTGCTTTTAGCTGTCAAACAGCTCATAGGATTCCAAGAAGGACAACTTTCCTCCCTGCTACATCAACCCAGAGGTGGGATTCAGCCGGTTCTGTTGAACCGGTAGTGGTGACTGCATGCGCTCACATTTGCGAACCGGTAGGGAAGGTAAATGAATCCTACCTCTGCATCAACCTCTGGGAAGGAAGCTTCACCAGTTTAACTTCTACCTGCCCTGCAATAGAGGAGCAGCTCCAGAAGAGAAAAGAGTAAAAATATTCCTTCAGTCATCGGGGAAGATTAACGGCAAGGTTCAGCTGATTTAATGAAGACGCCATCTGCTGTAGGAGCAAGGAACTCAGCATTTAAGAAGAATGCTCTATGACAAGGGAACAGCTCCAGATTTTGGAAGAACTAATCTGCTTACAGAAAGGGCTGACATTGTGGTGTAAAGAAAGTAATCTTACACTTAACACCAAAAAAACTAAAGAATTTATAATTGACTTCAGGAGGAAGAGAGATGTACATCTACCATTGTACATAAATGGTGAGGAGGTGGAAAGGGTGGGTAGTTTTAAATTTCTGGGCATTTATATCTCGAAGGACCTCTCATGGACTATGAAAGCTAACATGCTTGTGAAGAAGGCACAGAAGAGGCTGTACTTCCTGAGAATGCTCAGGAAGATAAATCTATCTCAGCATCTACTTCTGTCCTACCATCGCAGCACCATTGAGAGTGTCCTAACATACGGCATTCTTGCATGGTATGGGAGCAGCTCTGCAGCGGACAAAAAGGCTCTACAGAGAACCATTAAAACTGCCCAGAATATCATCGGACTCCAGCTACCAGCCCTGGACGACATCTTTGAATCTCGCTGTTTGAGGAAGTTGCATAACATTCTCAGAGACTCTTCCCATCCTGCTTACAATCTTTTTGGACTGTTGCCTTCTGGCAGAAGATACAGAACAATTAAAACTCTGACCACATGTTTTCTGAATAGTTTTTGTCCCAGAGCTATAATTGCACTCAACAATGAACTCAAGGGCCACCACCATCAGTGAGCTGTTGGACAGCATTACTTGGTCTGTTGTGTGGATGTTTGGGTGGTTTAGGGGTAGGGAATTTGTGGTGGGTGGGTGGGTGTTTGGGGATTGTTATGTGTGTTGGACCTAGTCTTTGGGTGTTAAATTAATTTCGTTGTATGGGTATACTGTGTATACACGTACAATGACAATAAAATTATTATTAATCCTAAGTGTACCTCACACCCACGAGTAACATTTGTTCTTCTCTCTGATATTCCTGCAAATGACTGGTGAATGATTGGACTGCAGCTACCTCTGGCTACTATTGATCGCCATTCATTTACTCATCCCTTGCAAGGTTGCATGAGCAAAGCAATGGCCACCGCTTAAAGCACACACAGTTGTGCCTATTCCCATTGTACAGTATTTAACTAGCCCTGACCAGCCCTGATGATGTTACCTAGTTTGGGTAATAAAACGTCGGCAAGAAAACAAGCAATTCAGAAAGCAGCAAGGACCCTCTCAGTATTTAATTAGTTGCTGGTTGGTTCTCTTCCTTATCAGTGTTCTCTGTTACTGATTTTAAATCTGAAATTTCCTACAGGGCAGGGATATGTCAATGAGGGGCCTAGAATAGATTTTTGCTGTATGCCTGCGCCGTCTTGTTCATAGCCTTCCAATTAGCCAAGGGACAAATTTCCATTTGTGTAAGGCCAGGGGTCGTCTTCAAAAATTTTAGCAAGGGGTTCTCTGCCCAGTTGCTTGGTGGGCATGGCCATGTTGGGCATGGTCTAGTCGGCCTCCTGCACTACGGGGGGTGCATTTTTGCCCTCCCTGGGCTCCAGAGGCTTTCCTTGAGTCTCTGGGAGGGCAAAAACGGCCTCCCCAGGCTCCGGAGGCTCTCTGGAGGCTGGAAACGGGCCCGTTTCTGGCATTCCCGAACTTCCAGTAGGCCTATTTTTCGCCCTCCCCAAGCCTCCGAGCATGCCCTGCACTTACCTGCATCCAAAACGGGCCGCATGGGGACTCCTGGGAGGGGAAGGGTGGGGTGGGCAGGGCGGGGCCAGCCAAGAGTGGGATTTGGGGGTTCTCCGAACTGCAGAAACCCATGCAGTTTGTGTCTGCAGTGGGCTCTGAACCTCATTGGTCCAAACGGAGCTGGTTCCTCCATTTTTAACACACAAAAGCTTAATATTAGAGTCTGCCCATTAAGAGCTCCTTACCTGGCTATGACTAAGAAGTGGGGAGGGGCTCCATCTTTTCTCCCGCTACCAGTTAGCTCAGTGTTTTTCCCCAGTGCTGGCTGGCTGGGGAATTCTGGGTGTTTGAAGTCCCCACATCTTCAAGTTGCCAAGTTTGAAAAAAAAAAACCCTTGATTTAGTTTAAAAGGGGTGGTTCATGTTTTAGACTAACGCCAGAGTGGGCTCCAGTTGTATACGTAGGGGTTGAATTTTGACGGAAACGCACAGCCTGCTTCTGAAATCGTTGCAGAGACTTAAGAACTTGTGCGTTTTCTCCCCAAATTCTCCCAGGAATCATCCACTTGTCCTCACGCGGAGCAGCCTCCTAAACACAACCTGCCGAATGGATCCGTTCTGCAGACCAAAGCCAAATGCCAGCGGACTCGCAGCAATTCAACCAGTAAGTTTCTGCAGTTTAGGCTATGTCCAGATGCATGCACTGTCATCATTCCGAGTAATGAACTCAGGGAAGTCAGGACTCTTGATGCTTTGTTCAAGTTCAAGGCCAGAGGTGGGTTTCAGCGGGTTCTGACCAGTTCTGGAGAACCGGTAGCGGAAATTTTGAGTAGTTCGGAGAACCGGTAAATACCACCTCTGACTGGCCCTGCCCCCATCTATTCTCTGCCTCCCGAGTCCCAGCTGATCGGGAGGAAATAGAGATTTTGCAGCATCCTTCCCCTGGAGTAGGGTGGGAATGGAGATTTTATAGTATCCTTCCCCTGCAATGCCCACCAAGCCACCAAGCCACGCCCCCAATGCCTATACCAGAAATCAGAGGTGGATGAGCTCCTGTGTCCAGAGGTGGTATTCAGCAGGTTCTGACCAGTTCTGGAGAACCAGTAGAGGAAATTTTGAGTAGTTCAGAGAACCGGTAAATACCACCTCTGGCTGGCCCCGCCCCCATCTATTCTCTGCCTCCCGAGTCCCAGCTGATTGGGAGGAAATGGGGATTTTACAGTATCCCGCTCAACTTCAACAGGTGTCCATTGACATGACCTTGGTTCTCACTCCGGCTGGTAGATATTATGGCTAGCCGGCTAAGGCACCACATCCCTGAGTCTCCCCCCCCCCATGTTCTTCTTCCCTCCCTCCTAATTGGCAAGCAAGAAACGAAGCAGAAGTAAATGCAACCGAGTTGTTTATCCCTACCATGCTTAAAACTGCAGAGACGAGATTTTAGGATAGAAGCCCTTCTATTCTACCTCTTACTAAATTCGGCACAGTATCAGCACTAGAGTCCTTCATGTTTTTGGGTCCTATAATCCAACATCAGGGACGCGGTGGTTCAGTGGCTAAGACGCTGAGCTTGTCAATCGAAAGGTCGGCAGTTCAGCGGTTCGAATCCCTGATGCCACCTAATGGGGTGAGCTCCCGTTACTTGTCCCAGCTTCTGCCAACCTAGCAGTTCGAAAGCAGGTAAAAAATGCAAGTAGAAAAATAGGGACCACCTTTGGTGGGAAGATAACAGCGTTCCGTGTGCCTTTGACGTTGAATCATGCCGGCTACATGACCACAGAGATGTCTTTGGAACAGCGCTGGCTCTTCGGCTTTGAAACGGAGATGAGCACCGCCCCCTACAGTCGGGAACGACTAACACATATGTGCGAGGGGAACCTTTACCTTTTACCTTTAATCCAACATCAGAACCGTCATTAAAAAGACACAACAAAAAATGTCTTCCTGTGTCCGCTCAGGAAGTTCAAACTATCCCAGGAGCAGCTGATACAGTTTTACAGAAGAATAGTTGAATGTTATCGTTTGTACTTCTACAATGTTCTGGTTTGGTACAGCAACCAAACAGGACAGGCACAGACTCCAATTGATCGTTTTGGATTGCCGAAAGAACACTTGCAACCACCCTGCCTGTATATCATCTGGGCCAGAAGGGAGGGGGAGGAGGGGGGGCTGAGAAAATATCTGCGGATTCCTCACATCCTGGACATAAACTCTTTCAACTCTTCTCCTCGAGATGGCGCTACAGGGCATTGCAGGCCAAAACAACTAGACACAGGGACGTCCCAAAGGTGCTTTTTTTTTCAAGAGGCAACTGGCCTTTTTGTTTTTTCTTTGAAGACGTTTCGCTTCTCATCCAAGAAGCTTCTTCAGCTCCAGATGAGACTGAGAATCTCCATAGACATTTAGACACAGGGATAGTTTTTCCCCCCTCATGCCACCCACTCTGCTGAACACCTAATTCTCACAATATAGTCTAATGTCTATATAGAATAGAATAGAATAGAATAGAATAGAATAACAGAGTGGGAAGGGACTTTGGAGGTCTTCTAGTCCAACCCCCTGCTTAGGCAGGAAACCCTACACCACTTCAGATAAATGGTTATCCAACATCTTCTTAAAAACTTCCAGTGATGGAGCATTCACAACTTCTGGAGACAAGTTGTTCCACTGATTAATTGTTCTCACTGTCAGGAAATTTCTCCTTAGTTCTAGGTTGCTTCTCTCCTTGATTAGTTTCCACCCATTGCTTCTTATCCTGCCCTCAGGTGCTTTGGAGAATAGCTTGACTCCCTCTTCTTTGGGGCAGCCCCTGAGATATTGGAACACTGCTATCATGTCTCCCCTGGTCCTTCTTTTCATTAAACTAGACATACCCAGTTCCTGCAACTGTTCTTCATATGTTTTAGCCTCCAGTCCCCTCATCATCTTGGTTGCTCTTCTCTGCACTCTTTCTAGAGTCTCCGCATCTTTTTTACATCGTGGCAACCAAAACTGGATGCAGTATTCCAAGTGTGGCCTTACCAAGGCCTTATAAAGTGGTATTAACACTTCATGTGATCTTGATTCTATCCCTCTGTTTATGCAGCCTAGAACTGTGTTGGCTTTTTTGGCAGTTGCTGCACACTGCTGGCTCCTATTTAAATGGTTGTCCACTAGGACTCCAAGATCCCTCCCATAGTTACTACTATTGAACAACGTCCCACATATACTGTACCTGTGCATTTTGTTTTTCTTGCCTAAATGTAGAACCTTACTTTTTTTCACCATTGAATTTCATTTTATTAGATAGCGCCCAATGTTCAAGTCCATCAAGATATGTATTTATTCATGAAGTATGACTGCAGTAATATTATTATTTATCCTTCTTAGTATCTTCTTTACTACTTCCTCTTATTGGGATGATGATGATGATGAAGGAGAAGAACATGAAGATGATGATTCTGCTGCTTGCATGTCTACTGAGAGCTTCTGCACCGGGGACAAATTCCTTGCATGTCTAAACTCACTTGGCCAAACAAAGTATCCAATTCAATTCAATTCAATCTGCTTTTTTTCCCTCTCTCTCTCTCTCTCCCCCCACCCCTTTAAGGTGCTAGTCCGTATTGGATAGGAGATGTTGATAGTTCTATGGTCAAGAAGTCAACCTCTCGGTACAGACAGTCCCTTTATAGCAACAGAAAGTCATTCTCTCAACAGCTGGAGAATGCAGCAGGAAAAGCAGCTGTCAAGGTAAGAGGAAAAAGGAAACCCACCAGACTATAGTGCTCCATATAATGTGTGTGGGACAGTCAAGAAACGACAATACAGATGGAATGCAGCTTTCAGGCCAAACATTTCCTTCCTCGTTACGCCTCCAAAACGAGCATCTAATGCTTCCCTGCAACAAAGCAGCCTGTTTTCCAGAAGTTCCTGGACCTCAGAAGGATGAGGTCACTTCCATGGACCAAGGAGAGGAGAACATCACCTGCATCTCCGAATGATGTTTGTTCCACCTTTCTTTACCATCCATGTCCCTGAAGGACTGTAAATCCATCAGGGAAAATGCACACGATGCTCTGTTTGTAGAGTTGGTTAGAACTGTTTAGTTGCTGGATGAGCAAGTTAGGATTGAAATAAGGTCTGAGCCCAGGTGGCATTTAGGAATTCTCCACCCCAAAATTGGGTGGGTAAGTTTTTTTCCTGAATTTATCCAAGGAAAGGAGAGTTTTTTTCCAAGCAGTTTCTCAAGGGCAGGACACCCCTCTAACTGCCTTGGAAACTGGTGAAGAGTGAGTTTTGTTCTGAAGATAATTTGTTATGTGCGGTGTTTTTTGCATTGATATAATTAGGAATTTCCTTGGCCATTAATACACATCCTTGGGTGACTTCCTAATTAAATAAACGCAGGAACAGAACCCTCCAGCCATGTGCATTTCACTCCAAGGAAATTCTCCTTCTCTGAAAAAGATTTCTAAAAGCAAACCCTCTCGTCATCTGTTGAATGATAAAAATAGGGGGAAAGGGCAAAATATCAATTCTCTGCAGGACACTAACAAAGGAGATGTTGTTGATGCAATACAGCCATTCGGAACCTGATGATGAAGAATAATGAAGGATATATTACCGGCATCTAATGCAGGGGTCCTCAAACTTTTTAAACAGGGGGCCAATTCACGGTCCCTCAGACGGTTGGGGAGGCTGGACCTGCTGGGTGGGCATAGCTAGGTGGTCATGTGATCGGGTGGGTGTGACTAGATAGTCATGTGATGGGTGGGCTTGGCCAATTTAACAGTCCATTAAACAATACACACAATTTAAACTTTAATTTGTTATGCTCCTGGAGGTGGAAAGCAAGATAGGGAAGGGATGTGGCTGCCTGTGGGGTGGGGGGTGAAGGATTTCTGTTTGTGTGTGTGTGTGTGTGTGTGTGTCCCTCCCCCCCCTCTCTCTATCTGGAGGCTGGAAGGCCAAAAACGGGCCCGTTTTTGGCCTCCTGGGGCCTCTGTGCATCCCGTTTTTTGCCTCGTCCTCCAGAAGGCGGTTGGGGGCCGGTGGGTAGGTGGGGTGAATGTGGTTGGGGCAGCCTTGTGGTCCTGCGTGGGCCTGATTAATGGCTTCGGCGGGCCGTACTTTGAGGACCCCTGATCTAATGCATCACTCCCATTGTAGGCAAAAATTGTGATAAGTGAAATGAAAATATAAATTTTTTTTAAAAAAAATTCTCCAGTATGATATTAACTTTTCCTTGCTGTTTGTTTCAACTGTAGCCTCTTTCCAGGTCATCTCGCTCACTAAGTTCCGCCCACCTCATGTCCACATCTTCGGGTTTACAGGCCTCTATGATCTCCAACATTGTTTTAATGAAAGGTCAAGGGAAGGTGAGCGGTTTGCTTTGTTATATGTCTTTCCTTGGATAATGCATATTTAGAATAGAATAGAAGGGAAGGGAAGGGAAGGGAAGGGAAGGGAAGGGAAGGGAAGAGAAGAGAAGAGAAGAGAAGAGAAGAGAAGAGAAGAGAAGAGAAGAGTTGAGTTGAGTTGAGTTGAGTTGAGTTGAGTTGAGTTGAGTTGAGTTGAGTTGAGTTGAGTTGAGTTGAGTTGAGTTGGAAGGGATCTTGGAGGCCTTCTAGTCCAACCCCCTGCTTAGGCAGGAAACCCTACACCAGACAAATGGTTATCCAATCTCTTCTTTAAAACTTCCAGTGTTGGAGCATTCACAACTTCTGGAGGCAAGTTGTTCCACTGATTAATTGTTCTAACTGTCAGGAAATTTCTCCTTAGTTCTAGGTTGCTTCTCTCCTTGATTAGTTTCCACACATTGCTTCTTGTCCTGCCTTCAGGTGCTTTGACCCCCTCTTCTTTGTGGCAGCCCCTGAGATATTGGAACACTGTTATCATGTCTCCCCTAGTCCTTCTTTTCATCAGACTATAGACATACCCATTTCCTGCAACCGTTCTCCATATATTTTAGCCTCCAATCATCTTTGTTGATGAACGCTGGGACAAAAAAAGGTTGTCTGAAGTCAAAATTTTAAAACTCCATTCTTCCTTTCAGGGAAAGATCGGTCTACAGCACGGGTGTCAAACTCATGTCGTCAAGGCATCATCACATGATGTATCGTGACTTTTCTCCCCTTCACTAAATGGGGCATGGGTGTGGTCACACATGACGTATCTGGCCCATGGGTGGCGAGTTTGACAGCCATGGTCTATGGCAATGTTTCTCAGTCTGGGCTATTTGACGACCTGTAGACTTCAACTCCCAGAATTCCCTAGCCATGTAACAGAGGAATTCTGGGAATCAAAGTCCACACGTCTTCAACTTGTCAAGGTTGAGAAACCCCAGTCTGGATGGAGAATTGCATCATGTCCTGGAAGATTTCATTTCTGTTTAAAATTTCAAGACTGCTCTTCCATCCTAACAGATCAGGGTCTCAGTGCAATAACAGCAGTATTATACTATCCTTATTGTTCCCAAAAAGGCATAAAAAGTAACCATCCAAAAATGGACCTCTACTTTGTACATGCTTCTGCAATTGGCTACTTATGATTCTTGACGAATGTATCTTTTCTTTTATGTACTCTGAGAGCTTATGCACCAAGACAAATTCCTTGTGTGTCCAATCACACTTGGCCAATAAAGAATTCTATTCTATTCTATTCTATTCTATTCTATTCTATTCTATTCTATTCTATTCTATTCTATTCTATTCTATTCTATTCTATTCTACTCTACTCTACTCTACTCTACTCTACTCTACTCTACTCTACATTCTATTCTATTCTATTCTATTCTATTCTATTCTATTCTACTCTACTCTACTCTACTCTACTCTACTCTACTCTACTCTACTCTACATTCTATTCTATTCTATTCTATTCTATTCTATTCTATTCTATTCTATTCTATTCTATTCTATTCTATTCTATTAATTCTGTGATAAATCAGACCTTTCCTCCATTCCAAAATAAAAGTCCATCCTAATTATAAACCGGAAGCAAGAAATTCTCTTCCCTCCCCCCCCCAAACATAGATTTTAAGTATTACTGAAACATGAGGAATTTGAATGATCTCTAACTTGAATGCATGGAAAACCATCATGAACCAACAGGAACATGGGTCCATCTATGTTTTAAGAAGTAATTCCCAGTGCCTTTCAGAGTTGAGGGCCAATAAAAACATTTTTTTCCTCCAAGACCTTTTCACAAACAACAACAAAAAAAGTGTTTTGATTGCTCGTTTAAGCAGTTAGTCAAAGGAGCAGGTGATTAATCAAGTAAAAATGCTCCCTCTGTTCACCCTCATTAGGGACTGGGTTTCAGCATTGTGGGTGGTCAGGACAGCATTTATGGCCCCATTGGCATCTATGTGAAGACAATCTTTCCTGGAGGAGCAGCTGCTGCGGATGGAAGGTTACAGGAAGGTAGGATAATGTCCTCCCTGTATTTGAATGAGTTGAAACTAGACAGTTTGGCTTACAGAAGGGAATCGTCTCTAGGTCCTGTAAACATCTGAAATATCTATCTTGGCGGGTGGGGGGAGGGAAATAGTGGCTTTAATGGGTTTGACCTTATGTACAGCTATCCAATGGGGGAAATTCGTGTGTGGGGGATGGTAGGTGAACCTCGACTGGTGAAAAGTTGATGAAATGCTGGGGGCCAAAAATTAGCTAATGAGATTGTTTATTTCAATGTAACAGGAGATGAAATCCTAGAATTGAATGGAGAATCAATGCATGGACTCACACACCATGAAGCTTTGCAGAAATTTAAGGTTATGGCTCTATGCAATGTTTTCCTGTAAGAATTCTCCTCCTCCTTTTCTTCTTCTTCTTCCTCCTCCTCCTCCTCTTTTTGTTGTCCTTCCCCTGCTTCTCCTTCCCCTTCTCTTTCATGTATTCCTCTTCTCCTCTTCCTCTCTCCTTCTCTTGCCCTTCCTCTTCCCTGCTTCTCCTTCCCCTTCTCTTTCACGTAATCCTCCTCTTCCTCTTCTTCCTCCTCCTCTTATCCTTTCCCTTCTCCTTCCACTGCTTCTCTTTCCCCTTCTCTTTCACGTAATCCTCCCCCTATGTTCTCTTCCTCCTCCTCTCTCCTCTTGTCCTTCCCCTTCTCTTTCATGTATTTCTCTTCCTCCTCGTCCTCCTGTCCTTCCCCTTCCCCTTCCACTGCTTCTCCTTCCCCTTCTTTTTCACATAATCCTCCTCTTCCTCTTCCTCCTCCTCCTCTCTCCTCTCTCCTGTCCTTCCCCTTCTCTCTCTTGTATTTCTCTTCCTACTCCTCTTGTCCTTTCCCTTCCCTTCCCTTCCACTGCTTCTCCTTCCCCTTCTCTTTCATGTAGTCCTCCTCTTCTTCCTGCTCCTCTTTCCTCTTGTCTTTCCCCTTCTCTTTCATGTATTTCTCTTCCTCTTCCTCCTCTTGTCCTTTCCCTTCTCTTTCATGTATTTCTCTTCCTCCTCCTCCTCTCTCCTCTTGTCCTTTCCCTTCCCCTGCTTCTCCTTCCCCTTCTCTTTCACCTAATCCTCCCCCCCCCCACCTTCTCCTCCTCCTCCTTCTCACAATGCTTCCTTCTTTCTAGCAGGCCAAGAAGGGCCTCCTCACACTCACCGTTCGGACAAGCTTCAGCACTCCATCTTCTGCCACCAGCTATTTATCGTCTCACCTTTGCCGTTCTCTGAGTACCAGCATGTGCATCACCAAGGAGAACAGCTCCTTTGGGTCAGAAAGCACCTCGACGTTTCCCCTGAACCCCCTGAACCCCAATGACAGGATCATGATGGAAGTTTCCTTAAATAAAGGTGAGCAGTAAATATAGCGACTCCCCCATCCCTACCCTGCCGCCAAAAAAATCCCAAACCTCAAGTGTTTCCAGAATAGACTTGGCTCAAATATATTGTCACTCTGAATTTTTCCCCCCTTCTTTTTTTTTGGGGGTGATGCTGTGCCAAAATATCCCTTCTGGTTTGGCAGGAGTTGCAAGAGAGCAATCATTCTACTATAATGACTGGGTTCATAAAAATAATAATAACTTGTTTGACTAGCATAACACATCTACTCAGCTACTCTGGCTTGCCGACCAGTTTTAATGTCTTAATGTGTGTGTACTATTCTGGCATGTGAAATCACGATAAAACAAAACCACAGCTTAGCACAATATGTGGGCCAAGCGACCACGTATCGATGCAGAAATCCTGAATGGTTTGAGGATAGAAGCAAATCTAATGCTCAATACTGACACAGGGAATGGCACATTTCCGAATCATTTGGATAGCTCGCTTCCTCTATGTCTTTCCATATCTTTCTAATGTATTTTTCACAGAGGCTGGCGTGGGCTTAGGCATTGGCTTGTGCAGCATCCCTTATTCCCGGTACATTTCTGGGATATTCATCCACACTCTTTCTCCTGGCTCTGTGGCTCACATGGATGGGAGGCTCAGGTATGTCGAGGTCGAATAATTTCCAGAACGTTCTGACATTCGCTTCCTACTTTTTCAAAAGGTGAGAAGTTACAGGGCCAGGTTTGATTGGTTATTCAAAAGCCAGTCCAACTTTTCATCTGGAAAAAAGGGCCATACCTTAAAACCGTTATTGGCAAACTCAATTCATCCACACACATTGCAAAATCTTTCCTTCCCTCCTTCCTTCCTTCCTTCCTTCCTTCCTTCCTTCCTTCCTTCCTTCCTTCCTTCCTTCCTTCCTTCCTCTTTCTTTCCTTCCTTCCTTCCTTCCTTCCTTTCTTTTTCTTTCTTTCTTTCTTTCTTTCTTTCTTTCTTTCTCTCTCTCTCTCTCTCTCTCTCTCTCTCTCTCTCTCTCTCTCTCTCTCTTTCTTTCTTTCTCCTTTTTTTCCCCTTCCCTTCCCTTCCCACTTTTTCCTTTCCTTTCTTCCATAATTAAACTTGAAATGTCTCAATATTTAATTTCCCCTGCGAAGTGAAAGACCAGGCTGCAACAAAGAAAGAAACTGTAAGCACAATATAGCTGCTAAATTCTGGGTCAAGGCTCTGTTTCTTGTAAAGCAGAGCATCCGGAGAAAGTTTAGAGAAGTAGCTAAGTAAGATGAAACCAAGAAGAAGAGCCTGTGTATCCTTTCTCTATGCTATGAGTCAGTCTTGGTCTAACCCTTTCTGTTCAGCTGAGCCTCCATTTGTTTTGCACTTCAGTGAAACAGGGCAAAATTAGAGCTAATATAAGCTGCAGAGAGACTGTATTCCATGATTTGTTTTTTAAAATTTGCTGCCTCCTGAAAGAGAGAGACAACTAGGGGTGAAATCCTCCCAGATCGGACCGGATCGCCCAAACTGGTAGCGATCTTGGCCGGTCGTTCAGCGATCCAGTAGCGATGGCGGAGCAAAGCTCTGCCCACCTGCCCAGGTGTCATTATTTCCCGGTTTTACTCAGGAAGTAATGTGTTTTTTACCTTCTGCGCATGTGCAGAAGGTTTTGCACATGTGTAGAAGGTCTGCGTGCGCATGTGACATGTATGGCATGTGCGCTTCCGAACCAGTAAGGAAGGTAAGTAGATTACACCCCTGGAGACAACTGCCGATGAACTTCTGCACATAACACACTTAAATGCAGTGGGAGGTGGATTAGTATGTCATATAAGGACCCAGATTCTCTGGGGCAATATGCTGACATTGTAAACTGCCCAGAAAGTGCTGTAAAATACTATAAAGTGACATAAAAATCTCGGTGCTATTGCTATATTAACACAGTGACCCAACCAACTAAGGAGCCTTGGTAGTACAGTGGTCTAAAGCACCCTGTTATTAAGACCAGCTGCCTGCAATTACTGCAGGTTCGAATCTCGCCAGGCTCAAGGTTGACTCAGCCTTCCATCCTTTCTAAGGTAGGTAAATTGAGGACCCAGTTGTGGGGGCAATAAGCTGACTTTGTATAAATATACAAAAGGATGAAGGCTATTGCTTAGCGCATTGTAAGCCGCCCTGAGTCTCCGGAGAAGGGCGGCATATAAATCAAATTAAAAAAAACAAAAACAAAAACTAAACCAGAAGCAGTTCATTTTTAGCCTCAGATAAAGTAAATGTGAGAGGTGATTTTCAAATAAATAAGACATCCTGTAGTTGTTTCCAAAGCACTCAACAAAGTTGGACCCGGATTTCACAAAAGTGACCTGTCAAACAAATCACGTATCAAAAAGAATGTGACCTAAAGAACTTGAAACTCGTTGCCTTAATTTGCCTATATATGGATTGCTCGTTTGAAAGTAGAGAAGCTAGGATTCTTTGGGTTTCCCTCTTTGAAACCATAAAGTAGCCAACAGAAACGACACGGGTAATGTTTCAGGTTTACCAAAATATACGATGTTGACCATGCTAGGGTTAACACTTGTTTTTCTGTTTTTAATGGCAATCTTCTGGAAGAGGTGGAGATGAAATAGTGGAAATCAACGAGGCATCTGTTCAAACAATGACCCTTAGTGAAGTTCACGCTGTCCTAAGCCACTGCAATCCTGGCATTGTGCAAATTATCGTTAGCAGGCATCCTGATCCACAGGTAAGATGGAAAGTGAATGAAATTTACTGTATATACTTTAATGATCTCCAAGCACTGGGACAACTGTCAATATAACCTTTCCCTCAAAACCAAAAAAAGCCCCCTTACTCAAATACGAAGATGACTTGTTGGAAAAGTCTTTCTATTGTGGAGAACCTAAGTCAGATCTGAGTTTCATCAGGCACCTGCTGAGGCCTATATGCTTGCAAAGGTGTCTATCGCCATCTTTAGAACTTCTTGGCCATTCTCTTTCTTTCATTGTTTTGTCCCTTAACAGCAACCAGGTAGCTTAATTCTTACTACTTACAATTAATATTGTGTAGCACTTCAAAGCTGAAAGGGTAAAGATGCTCTGGAGTGCGTCAGACATGCATAGAGCAACTCTGTGAAACTCCTTAAAGCAGCTGCATCTCTTTTCTGGGGAAAAGATGCAGTGGTTTTAAGAAGCTATGTTTAAGAAGCCCCAATACTGTGTTTTCTGAAATATACTGCTTTTTTGCGATCCATAGTCGTATATAAAATTTTCCTGGAAGAATTGCAGATGGTCAATTTGCATTAGGTCAAATGAAAAGTCAAACAGTTGACTTGTTAACAAGTCTTGGCATGAAGTATTGAGTAACCCCCTTTAGATATCTTTACTTAAACTTTGGGCAAAAAGGCTGAATTTCAGAATTTAATAGTGAAACCCACCCATAGTTCCAGGGGAGACTTCAAAGTGTGATTACGAAGTATTGCAGAAATGGAAATAAAAACAGACTTTTGTCAAACTTTAAAGTTTTCATCCTGGTTTGGGGGCCTATTGTAGGTGTCTGAACAGCAGCTAAAGGATGCCGTTTTCAGTGCCATGGAAAGCAACAAGTTGGAAAGAGACAAATTCCACTGGAATGCAGAAGGTAAGGAATTCCCCTCAGTTTAGATATAAAGGATTTGCTATGTTTTTTGAAGTACCCAACCCGGCCAAATCAGCGTAGAGACCTTTGTGGTCCATCAACGTGTTACCCAGATACTACAGAGAGAGAACGGGATCTTCTGGGACAAAATAACAAACAATAATAAGCTGCAGTTTTAAAAATACAGTCCAACACTTTCCTCAATCTGGACCTGTAAAAGAGAGTTAGAACTTTCAGCATATAATAACCCTATTTTGTAATATGCAACCTTCTCCAGTTCATCCAAAGCCAGAAACATTGGATTGAAATGAAATGCATCTTCTTTGATAATATCGTTGCATCAAAACTCTGAGACTTTCAGACTTTCAGACCGCAAAATAAGAAATTACTCTCCTCTTGATAGGAACCATCAGCTTCACCTTCACCAAGAAAACCTTAATTGTTTTTTGAGTAATTGTAATAGAAGTAAAAAAGTAAAGGTGGCTGTTATTTTTGTATTCGTAAAGCAGTCATTCATTTTAAGAGGAGTATAAGGTAAAATCAATGCCATACTGGACAGTTATCAATAGCGAGAAGGAATTTAGATTAATTCCTTGACATACAGTGATTTGTGAGAGTGGTACAGTGGCTAAGAAGTGGAGCTCTTGCCTCATAATCAGGAGGCTGTGAGTTCAATCCTAGGTGGAGGCAGATGTTTCTCTCTCTGGGCACGATGAGAATATATCTGCTGAACAAAACTCTACATTGGCAACAGGAAGGGCATCCAGCCAGTAAACACTCAGCTCCATTCAGTTGCCCAGACTCCACTCCGCAAGGGATTATGGGGTCATTAAAGGAGATGATGATACAGTGATTTGTGGAGCTTCCCAGGTAATGACCTTGTGATGACCCAGGGCATGACACAGAGATAACACAAACATCTGGCAGTTCAGATCACTCCTTTATTGCTCCAAATTTCCCCAAACGCTCCCACATTTCTGGCAAGTCCCAGAGCAGAGTGATAACAAACCCCCATAAAACCTCAAGCAGCCTCTGGCTGCAATTAGTCCAGCCCAACGCTGTCTGCCCCAAGGCTGCACAGCAATAAATCCAAATGTATTTGGCAAATCAAGGGAAAATCAAAGAGTTCAGGAAGCAAAAGATCCAGGTAATCCAGGTAATTAGTCCAGAACACTAGAAGGAATGCAAGGACTCTTGGAAAGTTCAAACATCGGCACGCAACACTTCAGGAACTCAGCATTTGTTCTCGACAAATGCCCCTCCCCACAGCATCTCCTTAAGTCTCATTCCCCAGGTGTGCCTTGTGAAGATGGGCGGGGCACTCTTCTCCCGAGTAGCCTGCTCAATCTGTGCTGTTCACGCTTTCTCTCCACTCTCCAAGCCCTTGGATCAGGAGGGGCTGGTCCTTGCTCCTCCTCTGAGCTCTGTCTCTCATGTTCATCCTGCCTCTGTTCCTCCCTGCCTACAATCTGTCCTAATCCTGAAAGCCCCTGGCCTTCCCCATTTTCTTCCAAAGACAATGAAGCCGCCCTCTCAATCTCTGTCGGCTCAGGTTCCAGCTCATCTTCCCCTGCAGATTCAGGCTCCGATGGGGGCACGGCAGACATAGACTTTTTGCATTCTCCTGTTTTGCCATGCAAGTGGCTGTGTGAGGCTACTGAAGTCCTGACACAAATCCTAGGCACTTTGGGGTGCACGGAACTATTTATAAAGGTCTTTGGATTTTAGCCATTATCTCGTATCTCTTTCTCTGCAGCGTTTGACTGTGTCGTGTTCTGCTTTCTATGTAGGTGGAAGTTGGCTTAAGAAAGCTCCCTGTGAAAAATACTTGGAGAAGAATGACGCTCACCTCAGCCATCCTTCTCAAAAGCCAATGATCCGTTCCAGCAGCGATAGCAGTTACAACCCCAGGTCATCTTGTGGAAATGGCTTTCTTTATCAGTTGACCAACGGCCAAGGAAAAGAACATCATCTGGATGTAGCAATTACACAGCCACCGGGCTCCCGACATTCATTTTCTGAAATGAGTTTGCGAAATGAGCCTTCCCCACCAGTGTCTCAAGGCGTTGGTCCCCTTTCGTCACACACGACTAAAAAAAGCACGGAGATCCTGGTTAGAAAACCCAGGTCATTCAAACCCAAACCTCCACCAAGGAAGTACTTCAAACAGGATTGTCCTGATAATGAGCAGACGATCAGAGAGTTGAAAGAGGGACCCAACCTTCATGAGACTGAAGTCCTGCCACCTTCAAACACTCAGGTAAGACAAGCTTCTGGTGGACGGAAGGGGCTAAAAAAATTGCCAAACATGGAGAGAAACAACTCAGCAATAAAGCCTGTTGCCCATTGATATACAAGGGCCAGGTTGTATCGTCTAGAAGTAGAGAGTTCAAAATAGTCTTTGTGAGTGCCCAGAAAAAAAGAAAAAAAAACTATAGGTAAAATGCCACAAAGCCAGTGAGAACATTGTAAAAAACAACAATGAAGCATTGTGGACTGGAATAGGACATTATAAAACAATGGTTGAAAGTGGCGTTAGAAAATCTACAAACTAAAAACTCTAGGAAAAATCTTTGCGGATGGCTTAATAAATGCCTGAAAAGCATGAAAAAAGATGTTTATAAACCAGTCAGGGAATCCCTAGGAGTACGGCTTCCAGGGCTAAAAAAATTGCCAAACATGGAGAGAAACAACTCAACAATAAAACCTGTTGCCCATTGGTATAATACAAGGGTCAGGTTGTATCCTCTAGAAGTAGAGAGTTCAAAATAGACTTTGTGAGTGCCCAGAAAAAAAAAAAAAAACCTGTAGGTAAAATACCACAAAGCCAGTGAGAACATTGTAAAAAAAGCAACAACGAAGCATCGTGGACTGGGATAGGGCATTAAAAAACAATGGCTGAAAGTGGCGTTAGAAAATCTACAAACTAAAAACTCTAGGCGAAATGTTTTGGGAGGGCTTAATAAATGCCTAAAAAGCATGAAAGCAGATTTTTTACAAGCCAGCCAGGGAATCCTTAGGAGTACGGATTCCAGATGCCTGGATAAAACACCAACAAAAACATCCAGAAGAATTTGAGGGGCATATTGATGATTGGGTGAAGATATCCCTAAGTCATATTGCTGTTGCAGGCCCAAAAACTTGCTGTTTGACCCCACAAGAATGGCTTGAAGCGTCCATATGAGCCGTTGAAAATCTACCCGGCTGAAGATACCCCTAAGCCATATAGCTGCTGCAGGCCCGGGGGAAAAAAAATACATTATTTGACTCCAGAGGAATGGCCTGAAAAAAACATTTCAGCCATTAAAACACTATCAAACTCTGAAGCAAAGTCTCAAAGTAGTCTAAGGAAGAAGATGGCTTCAAAAAAAAAACAAAACCATTCGATGATCTTCTGGCTCGGTTGCTTATTGGCAAGATGTGAATTGGGTGTGTGTGTGACATTAGTTCCCCCTGAATAGCACCCTGGATAGCACGGTAGTGTGAACCAAAGGACTAGTAACAGCTGGCAGGCAGGCCACAGTGAAGAATTGGCAGTTAATGACAGTTGGCAGGCAAGAGTTCTTTGTAGAACTCCCGGCTCTCTAAACGCCTGGCAACGGATAAACAAAATGGGCCTTGTCAGGCCCAAAGGCCTGAACTACCACCATAAGTCCATGTATTTGCCATAGGCTAGCTAGCTAGCTAGCTAAATAAAACAAACAAACAAACAAACAAACAAACAAACAAACATAAATAAATAAATAAGGAAGGAAGGTAAACTGAGGCAGGGCCAAAAGCTAGATTTGTCAGGCCCAAAGGCCTGAACTACCGCCATAAATCCATGTATTTGCCTGCTTACCTACCTACCTACCTAGATAGATAGATATAGATAAAATAGGTAGGTAGGTAAGCAGATAGGTAGATAGATGATAGGTAGGTAGGTAGATAGATGATAGGGAGGGAGGTAAACATGATAGACAGATAGATAGATGATAGGTAGGTAGATAGATGATGGATAGGTAGCTAGACAGACAGACAGACAGAGATAGATAGATAGATGATAGGTAGGTAGGTAGGTAGGTAGATGATAGGTAGATAGATGATAGGTAGGTAGGTAGGTAGGTAGATAGATAGATAGATGATGGACAGATAGATAGATAGATAGATGACAGGGAGGTAGGTAGATAGACAGATAGTTGATAGACAGCTAGATAGATGATAGATAGATGATAGTCAGATCGATAGACAGATCGATAGATCGATAGGGAAGGTAAACTGAGGCAGGCCTAGAGCCAGATTTGGCTTTCATAAGTTACAGTGGGTGTGGGTGAGCTGGGGGAGGCATCACTACTAAGTACATTGGGAGAGGAGCATCATAACTGTGAAAGTAAAGCGACTGTTGGTTAAGCCAGGGACATGTGAGACTGGGCCGAAGCCACCGAACTAAAAGTGGTCAAGGCATGTAAAGCCAGGAAAAGGAACCAAATCCTTAAGGAAAGGGGGGAAAAAACAGGACAATAGTTGGCCCTGAGCCCATGGCAAGCCCCTCCCCAAATGTCCCCAACAAAATGAGTTGGGCCTGCATGTGGGAACCCCCTCCCCACCAACAAAATGCCAGTGACTGCAGTGGTATCAGTGAGGTTGCTTTGAAAGAGTTGAGATCCTAACAGGACCCAGTTCAATGCTGAATGTAAACCATACCCCCACCGTTCCCCCCAGGGCAGGCTTTATAGCCAGTTTTTAGAGAATTAAGTTTTTCCTTTTTGAGATGGCGAAAACATGATGAGCGTGAACCTCAACGTGGGTTCTCTCTCTGTTTTAAAACCGGTGCATTGAATAACGAATTAAAATGCGTTTGTAAAACAAGAAGAGAAAATGGTTCCTCTCAAAGCAACCACTATTTCTGAGAACAAGCCAAACATCCTTTCTGTATGTGGAAACACCGACTGCGGGCCTCTTAAAAAAAAAAGTTAGAGAAGACAATAGCAGGGGTGGGTGGGAAGGAACTAAACTTTACCGCTGAGTATCTTGAGTGCAGAAAAGGAAAATATCAAGTGATATATGCAAAGCATGCAAATAAAATAAAATAAAAATAAAACCAGTAATCCTAGGATGGCAGGAAAGCACCTAAATTTATAGAACGTCACAAGTTTCAGAGTCAAAGACGATATAAAAGATTTTGATCTTTCCTACTATTGCTTTATTTTTTTAAAAAAATGCCTTTGCGGATACTCATAAAAATGAGTACTGCAGATAATTTAAAGATAGATAGTTTATTTCTTGTTTGGATTCACACAACACATGAACGCCTTTCTTATAGCTTAGTTTAAGGTAAAAACTAGATCATATTAGACCACTGTAGTACATTTATACATTTTGATGGGGGGGGTCAAAGCGATAAGCAAGAATATCAGTAATTTGTGAAGTTTCATCACGTATGCAGAGGACCACAAATGAGATAATTAAACATGTAAGACATGAAGGTAACACTTATGGTCCTGCAGTGATTAGTTAGTCAGAGGCAAAATAATTCTATTTCTAAGGCTTACAACTCTGTTATTAAAAAAAGACAAAGCTTTTAGAAGCTTTAGAAATTGATGAGACTGATTCTCCTTTGATCTATCCCAAATATCCTTTTGAAACTTCAATTAGAATCTCCTTTCATATCTACCCATATAAAAATATGAGCACTTTTATCCTTGGCTGTGCACAGCCCTGAGTCCAATAGGAGAAGGGCGGTATATAAATTGAATAAATAATAATAATAATAATAATAATAATAATAATAATAATAATAATAATAATAATAATAATAATAATATCAGATAAAACTATGGGGTTATTCACATGTAGTTATTTGAATAACTTTGGCCTGTTACTTTTCCGAGTTAATTTGTGCTAATTTTTAATGCTGAAGAGCCTTCTTTGAAGCTTATTCTCAGGTTGCTTGAGAATTTCTGTCAAATTTCTCTTGGTGTTTTTGAGATGACTTTCTTAACTGGAGTGAAGATGTATGTTTTCTCTTTAACACTGAAACATTCCCAAGTTTCCCCATCTGAAAGAACCCCCATTAGAAGAGTTTTCTGTTAATGTTGTCCTTTGGGGTTGAATGGAAGCAAGGAAAGCCAGAGAGTAAACCATTAAGGATTGTACAAGAATAACAAAATAGCAGAGTTGGAAGGGATCTTAGAGGTCATCTAGTACATCCCTTTGCTCAAAGCAGGAGACCCTATACCAATTCAGACAAATGGCTGCCTAGCCTCTTCTTAAAAACCTCTTGTGATGGAGCACCCACAACTTCTGGAGGCAAGTCGTTCAACTAGTTAATTGTTTTCACTGCCAGGAAATTTCTCCTTCGTTAATTTCTCCAAGAAAAGACACGACATTCGCACAGGGCCTTTTGCAAATTGAAGAAGGGCAAGAAAACCACACTTTGCCCAATAACATTTCACTGACATTCTCTTCCCCTTTCAGTGAAATTTCAAAGGAAATTAAATGTAAACTGGAATGGGGTGGAGAATATTTCAACACAGTTTAAGCCTCTGAAAGCATCGTTTTTATTTTTCCAGAAGTAGAAGTGCATGTGTAAATCAAGTCCCTATTTTGATATTTTTTTTAAAAAAAAATGCTTAGGAATTGACTGCAAAGGATTTTAAAAACTGGCAAAAAATGATGAATGTTTAAAAAAAGAGGGGGAAAAATCCTGTTTTTTAGCCAAGTGATTAGATAAGTCAGTATTAAACTAAATCCTGACCGAGTGTTATTGACTGTAGAATCTAATGGCGTAAAGCTGAGCTAACAGCATCATTTGTCAGACTTGAAAACCCAACCTGGTTCTGTGCTGAGTTCCAGATGAAACCTTTTATGTTTCTCTAGATGGAACAGCTCAAAGGTACCAGAGAATGCAGTTTGATGCAACTCAATGTTGTCAGCTTTGTGCTTCCTGTTTTGTCGACAGGAAGTTGGGGACCTGCTGCGGCTGAGAAATAAGACGGTTGTAACTCACGGCACATTTGCAAGTTCTTTAGCTCCACGAGCTGCAGAACAGCTGAAGGTGTCCTCAGGAGCTGCAGATCGTGAAAAGAAAAACAACAAAGGTAAGATTTGTTTTGTCTGCCATGGAAGGTCAGTGCTAACCAAGGAGCCTCCTTTGGAATGGGACATAGGAATTATTGTGCAAATTTCAGCTTTGCAATCCTGGGCTAGCGATCATTATCGTGACCAAGATTGCAGACTGACATTCAGTTTTCTGCAAACAATCTGAATAAAATCTGTCCAGGATTCCACTCAAAATTAATACTGGAATGAGATGGGATGATCTAACTGCACCACTATGTGAGTTAGTAACTGTGACTGCCTAGAAGTCTCTCAGCGGGTGGCACATCTGAACCCTACCTACGGTCAGAAGCTAAGGAGGGTTGGGATTTGTTAGCCTTGTATTGGAGACCACCAGGAATTTCCATGGTAGATTAAATAGAAAAATAGAAGAAGATCACATCCTTTCTTCTATTTTGCTGCCATAAAAAACTGCATGGACATTTAACTTGAAAGAGATTTTCTCAGTTTTTGCTTCGTTAGAAATAAATTTCACTCATAGGCATAGGATCGCATGGGAACAATTGTAAGGTTCCAGGATTGTTAGTGGCACAGGCAAACCAATTTTTGTACAGTTCCTTCGGTCGAACTGAGCTTGGTGGACCTTGCTCGCAAGTATGCAAGTCCTGTAGGGCAACTTTGAATTCAGAACGATCCCATTGGTGAGAGCTGACGTTTTGTTAATCATATAATGCATTTTAGGCAAGGCAGATTCATCTACAAGACCTGCCCTCAGAAGACAAGCAAGGGTGGATTATAGCCTTGAGACCACAACCGAAGATCCTTGGGTGAGAATTTCTGACTGCATCAAAAGTTTGTTCAACCCCAGCATGGCTGAAGAAAGGTGCACCTTAAACATGCCGCATGGCATCAAAAGCAAAGACAGTGAGCCGGCCCTGCATTGCTCAGGTGCAGCCCTGCAGCCCTCAGACACCGAGGAGAGCGACCCCAAAGCCTCTTCTACATCAGAAGAAGGTGACTTTGTGAAGAAAGGGCCACCTGTAGCGCCCAAACCAGCTTGGTTCCGTCAGAGCCTCAAGGGACTAAAGAAAGGAAGTTCAGATGCAAAAACTCTCAGAAACAGCAGCGCTGAGCATCAGAGCATGTCAGACAACGAGGCGGGCTCCATTACCAAGATTGTCCGGGCATCTCCTAGAGGATCGTCAATAAAGCAGAGAATCAGCTCTTTTGAAAATCTGGGCACTCCTCAGTCTCCCGAAAAGGGGACTAGGAAGCTGAGTCCAAAGCCGTCTGTTCAAAAAGAAGAAGCTTCTAGCAGGCAGGATTCACAAACTGCCAAGTGCGATCCTCAGGAAGCATCCACCAGCAGCATCGACCACCAAGGTTCTGAGAGCAGCCCCCTGCCGTCATCTCTAGGAGAAAATCAGATCAGCTCGTCGTCTTCTTCCTCCTCCGTGGATCGTTGTGCTTCGACTTCAAAGACGAGCAACGACACCCGTCTTGACTCATCTTTGACTCTTCCAGCCTCACAAAATACGGAACTCAACCCACCAGTCACAAAAGCATCGAGTCAACGAGCACGGAGCTTTCCACTCACTTCATCTCAGGCATGTGAGGTGTTGAAAAGCAGCGCCGAGGGAGAAAAATGCAGCAAAATCTACTCCATTAGCAATTACTTCTCGTCCGCTTTGATGAAATCCTTAGATGGCTTCCCTTCTCAGTCTCCTCGGTGTTCTAGGAAGAGCCCTACTGGGACCTCCAACGGAGGGATTTCTGAATCTGGCACAGAAGAAGACAAGGTTGCTATCCCTCAAGGAAGAGAAGTTCAATCTCTGGACACTGGCTATTCTCTTAAGTAAGTTCTTTCTGTTTGTAACTTTAAAGTGTGTGTTTCTTTCTAGTTAAAAAAAAAATAATCCCTTGGATTTAGTATTTGCTTTGGAGTTTTAAGTCAGCTTTTGTACAAATGCTCATATAATACTAAGCTATCATATGATTTTGGTTTTGGCTTAGAATTATGCTCCCATTTACCCATGTTGGCTTAGTGTTATTGATAAACTAGATCCTGTAGTTATGTGTCTGTGGAGTTTCTCAGTCATCCAGTCATGGCTGTCCAAAGGTGCTTTCTCAAGAGGCAACTGGACTATCTTTGTTTTTCCTTGAAGGCATTTCACTTCTCATTCAAGAAGCTTCTTCACTTCTGACGTTCAAAACTGAAGAAGCTTTTTGAATGAGAAGCGAAACATCTTCAAGGAAAAACAAAAGACACCTCAGTTGCCTCTTTAGAAAGCACCTTTGGGAGGCCCAGTGGCTATGATCAACAAATTATGGTTTTAAAAACTCCGGCTTAGCATGCCGCACCTTTCAAAGTTTTATCCACAGTTTCCCTCAGAAGGGAAGGACAAAAGTCTTGTTTAGGCCAGGCATCCTAACAGGTGATGGGATGTTTCAGATATTCTCTGAAAACAAAGAATAATTGAAGAGATGTCAACATTGGAAGAAGGCTTTTAAATGCTCTTCACCTATGGCATTTGCCTTGCTGATGTCTCCAACATAGCTAGAGATCCAGAGGGAGCATTCTGTGAATATCTCAGGAATTAAGGAAGGCCATGGATCTTGCATATTCTTCTGATCCCCTCTGAAACTGAAGAGGAATTATCATTCTTCTCTTCGTTCAACTCTACTAGGACAATCCCCCTAACAATTTTAGATAAGTCTTTTGTCTTCAGATCCCTACTCTTGTAATAATTTGAACGCAGTATTTAAAATCTGCTGTGCTTTATTTATTTAATGTATTTTTGTAAGTGGCAGGAGGTTCTACCCCAGGTGTTATTTTTAGGAAAGCCAAGCAGATTGGAGGTTGTTGAAGAGATGATAAAAAAAAAAAAAAAAAGGAGCGACTGCATTTTTATGCACCTCCTCAGCCATCTTGTCCACCTTCCCTCCTTTAGAATTCCTCTAGAATTCTCTTGGTTTGTAAAATAGGTTTCTTGAAGCAGGCTGTCTTTTGATCAGTTGCAATGGGAATTGTCCCTCGAAGAGTTAGCTGTGGGTTGTCCATGGAAATTTTGAGGCAGTTTCTGTTGAGCCAATGCCGGCAGTCTGAAAGATGACCCAGTTTTTTCACTGACATCTTTCAATACATTTTTGAGGAGAAACCCCTGCAGGTTTCTGACTCTCTGACTCTTTGCCTAACTAATAAAAAGGTAAAAGATAAAGGTTCCCCTCATACATATGTGCTAGTCGTTTCTAATCCGAAGAGCCAGCGCTGTCCGAAGACGTCTCCATGGTCATGTGGCCGGCATGACTAAACACCAAAGGTTCATGGAACACTGTTACCTTCCCACTAAAGGTGGTCCCTATTTTTCTACTTGCATTTTTTACGTGCTTTCGAACTGCTAGGTTGGCAGAAGCTGGGACAAGTAACGGGAGCTCACTCTGTTATGCAGCACTAGGGATTTGAACCACTGAACTGCCGACCTTTCGATCAACAAGCTCAGCATCTTAGCCACTGAGCCACCACGTCCCTGCCTAATTTATATATATATATATATATATATATGTATGTATGTATGTATGTATGTATGTATGTATGTATGTATATATTTGACTGATGAAGTTACTTGGATAAGTAACAAGAGGTCTTAGATAAATAAACTTTGGTCCAGTTGCCATGAATTTAACCTTTTTAAGATACTTTTGGCCTGGATGATTGAATGTTCATCAACATATTTCAATACATTTTTTTGGTGAAAAAACCCTTCAGTTGATGGGACAAGAGTTGGTACATTCCAATGACTCTCTGCCTAACTAATTTTTTTTTATTTTGACTGATGAAGATACTTGGACGAGTAATGAATCGTCTCAGATTAACAACCTTTTTGGTCCAGTTGCTGTGATTTTAACCTTTTTAAGAGACCCAGTTTTAACCTTCCACTCCTGTAGCATCCAATGTTCTATGTGATTTTAGAAGTTGTTCAGTTCTCCTTATGCTGATCATTGTGGTCATATCCTTTCTTAAGGTCGAATTTGCCTTGGCGATGTTTTGTTGACACGCGGTCCCAAAGAACTCTATTGGCTATTATTATTTAGGATGTTGCTTTTTGATTTCAGCCCTGGCCTTGCTGTGAATGAATTATTCAACAGCAGCCCAATGAAGGAAACCTTTGAAACTTCCAAATTTTCTCAAATTTGGTCTCTCTGTAGAAAAAATGGCCATAAAAACCACAAGTTGAAATAGGGTTTTTACTAACTTGGTTTGAAAGGTCATTATAGTAATTGCTTGGAAAACCTTTTATTTTGACACCAGCTTCTATGTTGCAATGCGGGCCCTCTCCTCTTCCATCACACATGGTTATTTGAGGAAATTACAGCATATTCTTGTCCCCTTGACTCCCAGACCTGTGCCTTCATTGCTTCTGCTTTTAAATCTCAACGTGCTGAATCTCTATTTATGAAGCAGGTTCTGAGAAATGGGAGAGCATGTGACTTTCACAACTCTTAAGTGTGGTGAATATAGACACCCAGTGGTTGTAGGAGGCTGAGTTTCAGAAGAAACAAACACTTGTCAGTATTTCCTGAAATATAGTACGGCTCCGTTCAATCTTCATGAGCTCTTCTACTTTGAAGAGTCTGGGTCTCTCTGGAAACAACTCTGAAATACCACCAGGTTGGCTGTATTTGAGAGCTGAGGTGATTTATTTCTGATTCAGTTATAGGTTACTTGAAACCACGATAAACAATTCTTTAAATCGAAACAGCTTTGTGGAGTTTGTGGGCAGTTCTGTTTTCCAATTTGCAGGAACTTCACGTTCTGGGCTTCAGGCTTTTGAAAGGGAAAAATGCTTCTAGCTTTTCTGCTCTTCCACATAGCAAGCATTGGGGAATGGATGGAGAGATGGATGGAGATAGATAGATAGATAGATATAGATAGATAAACATAAATAGATAGATAAAGATAGATAGATAGATAGATAGATAGATAGATAGATAGATAGATAGATAGATAGAGATACAGACAGACAGATAGATGGAGATGATAGATAGATAGATAGATAGATAGATAGATAGATAGATAGATAGATAGATAGAGATAGAGATAGAGATAGATACAGACAGACAGATAGATGGAGATAGATAGATAGATAGATAGATAGATAGATAGATAGATAGAGATAGATAGATAGATAGATAGATAGATAGATAGATAGATAGATAGATGGAGATGATAGATAGATAGATAGATAGATAGATAGATAGATAGATAGATAGAGATAGATATAGACAGACAGATAGATGGAGATAGATAGATAGATAGATAGATAGATAGATAGATAGATAGATAGATAGATAGATACGGAGGGAAAGAGAGGGAGAGAGAGAAGAAAAAGGAAGAAATTCACACTATACGGAGTAAGGATATGGAAGAATGATTATATTTCTGCAAAACTGCAACATTTCTGCATTTCTTTTATTCCCTTGTCAAGGGAGTGAAAATAAGGGGCAGCACCTAGAAAAAGGACCGTGATTTTTGTCCTCCAAACATTCTAATATTGGCATATTGGAAGACAATCATAAATCATTTTAAAACTCTTTTGAGGAATTGAAAGTGCTGCTGGTGTACACTGTAAAGCCATTGCTGGTTTTAAGTATGGTTTGCTGAATAAGTATCCCAATTCTGAATTCAAATACCTTGCTAGGACAAGTAAGAAGACTGTAATATTGTAATAAGAACCTATAGAATTCAATTTTGATCCTGAACATCCATTCTCTATTCTTATCAGAACAAATAAGATATATTCTGATATTCTGACTAGATATTAGATATTCTGACATTTCTTTTTACACTAAAAAAATGAATTAAACAAAAAAAAGGGGGGATATCTGAAAAACATGAGTGAGTTGGTGGTAACAAGAGTCTAGAAAGTGGCTTGACTGTAATGAGGAGAAAAAAAGAAAAATTAAAAGAAGACGTTTCAAATTGAACCCAACTGCTTCTTATTCAGCATTTCTTGTTTCCTCTTCTCAAACTGTCTAGCCTTTCTGAGTTGAGAGACTACGGAGCAAATCACCCAGACAAAGAGAAAAGGGAAGATAAGAAGAAAGGCTGCCCGTCTCCAACTCTGGGCACCTCCGGGCAAGCGGTCATCTCTCTCCTCACCCCTGAAGAACTGGAGAAACTTCTGGAGGAGGTGAAATCTTTGGATGAAGCAACACTAAAGGCAAGTCCCTGACATCTTCAACTTTTCCAATAGCTTCTCCTAACCAGGAACCTGTGAGCGTTTCATACAACGATCCATATCGCTTTCAACCAGCAGAGCTCATAGTGTCAGTACAGGGGTGGGATTCTACCGGTTCGGGCAAACCGGTTCACTCCGACAATCAGCTGGGTCCGACTGCCTGCCCCTGAGCTTTACTTACCTTCATCTTCGCAGCTGATTAGCGCGGCAGAGCAGATTGCTGCGCCGCAGCTGTTTTTAATTCCCTAGCACTTAACGCGGAAGGTGATTTTTTTGTTGAAGTGCGCACATGCACGCAGCGGGCATCTGGCGCAGGTGCACATGAAGCGCACAATCACCCGAACCAGTTGTTAAACTGGAAGGATCCCACCAGGGGTGGGTTCTACTTACCTTTACTACCGGTTCGCAATGGGGCCGCGTGCGCGTGTTCACTTTGCTTGCGTGTGATGTGTGCTCTTCTGCGCATGCGCAGAAGCATTCTGATGACATCAGGGTTGGTGGGCGGAGCATCCCATCGGCATTCTGATGACATCGGGGTTGGTGGGCATCCCGCCGGTTTTACTACCGGTTCTATAGAAATGGTGCGAACCGGGGGCAATCCACCACTGGATCCCACCACTGTGTCAGTATGATGGAATATTCCATCCAGCCATCCATTTCCATTCAGTTATCCAGGTGGGGGCGCCACTTTCACTTGATTCATTCAAGCAGAAGCTGAGGATGGATATATATCCCCAGGAATGCTTTAATACTTGCAGGATTCAGGATCTTCTTTCTCTTACCCCACCCTATTTATTTGTTTTGTTTTGTTTTGCACAGCAACTCAATGACATTCATGTGACAATTCTGCATAAAGAAGAAGGGACTGGCCTGGGGTTTAGCTTGGCTGGTGGAATAGATCTTGAAAACAAAGCTGTTGTCGTAAGTAATATGCTGGGTGGTTTATTTTAGGGGGGTGGGGCTATCAGCTTCCTGATAGATCAAAAGCCCTTTGTGGGAATAATTTCAGTTCCTGTCTCATATGGATTCTTTCATAATCGGGAGAAGGAATCTGGAAGCCCAGTCTCTCCATTCCTAGTTCATCCCTTCCACTGCTGTACCACATTAGTTCTTGATCTTGTTGCACCTAATGGAATTTGAACCAAGTAAAGTAAAATCATATTCTGTACTATCACATTAACTTCCCTTCCTCCCTCCTTTCATTTTTATTTTCTCTATTAGAAGAATGTTCCCACTTATTTGCCACCACACAGACAAATTCAAAAACTCTCCTGTTTTCTAGGATCTTGCTATTATCTGCTGTCTTTAAGGAAAGAAAGCCCCATAATATTTTTGTTTTATTAGCACAGGCAAGAATATTATAAATTAATCCTGTTTTTAAATGGAACCAGGGCTAATTTGCTGACACTCTCCACTTCTCAAACTCTATCATGCAATTTTTTTTTAAGAAAAAAAAAATCTCACCCACCTTACTTCTCCCAATGCAAATGAAAGACAGGTAAGGAAGTTTCCTCACTATACGTCTTTTTGCAACAGGTTCACAAAGTTTTCCCCAGCGGCCTAGCATCTCAGGAAGGAACGATCCAAAAAGGGGATGAAGTCTTATCGATCAATGGGAAATCTCTCAAGGGTGCCACTCACAGCGAAGCGCTGGAGATCTTGCGAAAAGCACGACATCTCAGGCTGGCAGTGATTGTCACCCGAAAACCCAAAGAGAGAGAATGGAGCACCCCAAGTGGCTTGCTTCAGTCCTCAGCATCAACAGGAAGCGAAACTTCAATGGATTCCAGTGAGTCTGGGGCCTGATGGTGGGAAGGGAATGGGTGCTGATACTATAGAGAGGGATTAATGCAGTGGTGAAATCCAATTTTTTTTACTACCGGTTCTGTGAGCGTGACTTGGTGGGCATGGTGTGGCTTGGTGGGCGTGGCAGGGGAAGGATACTGCAAAATCTCCATTCCCTCCCCACTCTGGGACCAGCCAGAGGTGGCATTTGCCGATTCTCCGAACTGCTCAAAATTTCCGCTACCGGTTCTCCAGAACCTGTCAGAACCTGCTGGATTTGATTCCTGGATTAATGGTAAAGAGTATGCACGGAAGGTATCTTGATGCAATTTTGTGGTCTTCAGTAGAAAACATCTCAAAACAATGTAGGGGAAGAAGTTGGTGGAGGAAGAAGTATTTGCATAGAATTAGGGGAAAACCGAAGGGAGGGAGGGAGGGAGGGAGGCAGAGAGAGAGAGTGGGGGGAGGGAAGGAGAGAACAAGTGATATGTGCCATGGTGGCACAGTGGTTAGAGTTCAGTACTACAGGCTACTTCTGCTGACTGCCGGCTGCCTGCAATTTGGCAGTTCGAATCTCACCAGGCTGAAGGTTGACTCAGCCTTCCATCCTTCCGAGGTGGGTAAAATGAGGACCCAGATTGTTGAGGGCAATAGGCTGATTGTAAACCGCTTAGAGAGGGCTGTAAAAAGCACTGTGAAGTGGTATATAAGTCTAAGTGCTATTGCTATTGCTCTACAGAGAAAATATTTTCCAAAAAACCCCTCAAGAATCACAAGTAAGGTAATTCTACACACTTGTCTTGATTCTTCCAGGGCCCAGTGGGCAATTGTCTAAGATCTTTTGGAAAGTTAAAGTTTCCAGTGAGCAGGGAGGGCAGTGATCCAAATGTATGAAGATTCCAAGATTTTAGAACAGAACTTTCCAAATATTCTCCATTTCAAAACTATGTTATCCCTCTTTGGCAAATTCCATTAAACTTTTCAAGTTTCGCATCTGTAAATGACAAGAAATTTTGCTGCCCAGATTTCAGCAATTTATAGCCAAAGGGAGGTCCGGGAACGTCAAGAAAGAAAAGGGGTTTGGTTAGAATCCACATAAGGGCCTATGCACTCTAACCATCTGCCCATAGATTATTATCAAGTCAGGTTATTATCCCTCTGTCTGAGATCCTCTTAGTGGTCCAGTATAGAACGTATCTATCTGTACAAAACTGGTGGTTTTCTGTAGCACTATGCCATATTCTAGCTTTTTACTAACGAAACTCTTTCTCCTCCAACAATATTCTGCTTTGACCCAGCACCAGAAGATCTGATCTTTACGGTTACCCTGGAGAAGACATCTGCAGGTTTAGGTTTCACTCTGGAAGGAGGAAAAGGCTCCATTCATGGAGATAAACCAATCACCATCAGCCGGCTTTTTAAAGGTACGGTGGTTTGGTAGGTGTGACATTTTGGCCGATGCTGTCATGTCCAAGGAGAAGTGTGTCATCAGAGAAACTAGAAGAGGCATTTAAACTTTTCTGGAAATGTTAAACTGGAAACATGCGAATGGACTAGAACAATTGGATGGTCATTTTGAGGACAAGATGCTTTGTGCACGTTGAAATTTAGAAGAACTATTCAGACTACTGTGTCCAGCCTTTGCAGTAAATCGCAGATTAAATCCTGCCCCCTTTTTAATCCCTCTAAACCACTGTGCCAATCTCTTGCAATATAAAGTCACACAAATGGAGACTGTGTTTGCTATTATTGTAAACTTGTGATGGTGGTGATGGATCCCTCTCAAACTGCACATTATTTTTAAGAACGTGGAAATGGTTCATTTGTTCAGTTAATTGGCTCATTAGATTCCACCCAACTGAAAAATGACTCTGGGCAGTTTGCTTTTGCATACCACTTGTTGGGAAACATGTGAGAGGATGCTGTTACTATCATCATCTACTCAGGTGACTTCCTAGGAACATCTTTATGGGAATGGAAGACTGGATCAGATGAGTCCAAAGCCTGGTCCAGCTTCAGTCCTTCTCTAACATCCTTAACACATTGGTGGGTTGGAGACACTTTTCAGGGTCAAAATGCTTCTTGAGGGTGGAGGTTTGTTCTCCGAGCTTGTAGGTTAGCTTCCTAAGGTTTTGTTACCAGGTTAGGTAACCTCTTCAGTGGAGTTTAGGGGATGTCTGTGTCTTTGCTCTTCTACTGATAAAGGCTTTGTGTGGTCAATAGGTCTTGTGATGGGGGGGTCAGGTCAGGTGAGGGTCTTATGATGGGGATATCGTGTCAGCTGAGGGTCACTGGGAGGTTGAAGTGCTAGTTGTGGGACTTGGGGAGGTTGGTTGAGGGTCAGTTCCATCACCAGTTGGCTATACAATGGATTTGAATTCTATAGGCTTGTAGGCTTGTAGTAGGTCGGTCTGTTGATGGAATTGCTTATGGAGTGCAGTGATGAACTCACGCGTGTGGTGGGTGGGTAGCATGGCCAATGACTCTTGTATTGCTCCAATCAAATTGATGCTGTATTGCTTTCCTCCTCCGGATACCCACGAATGTCCAATGTGTATTTTGGTATCTCTCACACACCCCTATCCTCCCACACATTGCTAACACCACACTTTGTGTCTTTCAGGCATGACACCCCAACACAACCCCCCCGTTCAGCCTGGAGATGAGCTGCTGCAGGTGCACACGTACCTGATGCAAGGACTCACCCGCTTCGAAGCTTGGAATATCATCCGGACCTTACCCGATGGGTTTATTACTGCCATCATCAGGAGGAAAAATTCAGTGGCTGGAATGGCTTCCTCTCTCCATGGAGAGGAGTAGTGGCCATGATGATCGCCAATGCTCAAAAGAGATTTGGAACTGCTATGACCCAAACTAGGGACTCATCCCTTGCTCGAATCAGCTACCCTGCAGCTGATTTAAAGGCCCCGGGTTCTTTGCTCGCAAAGGGAATGTCAAGAAAAGAGGAGGAGGCCAATGTAAACAGCTCACTTGTTTGTGTGCACAGTATCATTCAAAGTTCCTGTGGGGAGCTGTGCCTGAACTAATCCAGGATTTTGCCAGAAGCAAAAGGGCAGAACCCCAAAAGAAGAATTGATGGCAGAGGAGATAGCGGGATTAATTAACTGGGCCTTGATTGCCTAATAAGCATCAAAGTAAACACAGGAGCCCAGCGCATGGAGATTCCTTTCAGGACCTTCCTTTGATGCAACCTGGAGGGTGTATCTTGGAACGTGAGGCCTCTGTTGAACCCTTCCTGGGATTGCAAGTGTGTAAAAGTGTGCGTATATTTCCATCACTGGGAAAGCACATCTCTCTCACTTTGGACTGGCTGTAGATTGTCCGTGGCTGGATCAGGAAAGCCTGATTTAAACCACATTTTTACCTGTTCCTCCAATAAAGTATTGTTCTTTTAATCACGTTACCTTTACTTACAATTATCTCTCCCCCCGAAAGGAACTCTGCTCAGAAACAGCTGCTGCAAACTTCAATCCAAACAGAGACAAGACCAAGAGTGACTTCAGAGCACCCTATTTTTGTATTTCTAATGTATAAAAGCACATCAGAACAACATATTGTGATTGAGAAAATATTATTGCCTGAGATCAGTGGTCATTTGAAGCAGCTGGGGCAGTGATGGTTAACCTTTTCGGCACCGAGTGCCAAAACTGGTATGTGCACGCATGCCAGAACCCCAAAACCTGGAAGAGAGCAGCTGGCCGGTTTGCATGCATGTGGCGACCAGCTGCTCTTCCGGCTTCCGTGGTCCGCATGCGGCTGGACAGCTGCTCTCTTCCAGGTTCCGCCACCAGGGGTGGGTTCTAAAATTTTTTACTAGCGGTTCTGTGGGCGTGGTTATTTTGTGGGCGTAGTTTGATGGTCATGTGACAATTCTTTAGGATTTAGCAGAGGTACTGGTCTACCAGGCTTTTAACTGCTTGCAGAGCTGTACCGGTCTACCCATTAGTTCTTGGAGCGTTCCGGTCTACCCATTTGTTTTTAGAGGCACCGATCTACCCATTTGTTTTTGGAGGCACCGGTCTACTACCACACTGCCTTTTAATACTGATCAGCTGTAGGGCGGCCCTTTGAAGCCCCAAGGCAAGAGTTTAAACAGTTTTTTTTCCTTCTAGCCAATCAGCTGGGACTTGGGAGGCAGCAAGTAGATTGGGGGCGGGGCCAAATAAAAGGTAAGAATAACACAGGGGGAGGGCTGGAGGGCCCAGCTCCCGAACAAAGAGAACCGGTTTGGTGATGTCATATCGTCACCGCTACCGGCTCGGCCGAACCGGGAGGAACCCATCACTGTCCGCCACGTGCATGCGCACCGGCCAGCTGGTCCTCACGTGAAAACCAGCTGGCCGGCATGCATGCACGCATCAGAACCCGGAAGAGAGCAGCTGGCCAGTGCACATGCACACACCGGAACCCGGAAGAGCAGCTGGCGATGGCACACATGCCCATAGAGAGGGCTCTGCGTGCCACCTCTGGCACGTGTGTCATAGGTTCGCCATCACAGAGCTAGGGAGAGTTTATGAAGGCAGAATCCTGGAGCAGTTTCCTTCTCTCAAAACAGGATCTACAGTGCAAAACTGGTAGGTGTTTGTCTCAGTTTCTTGTTAAACCTCGTCTGACAACCTGCTGTTCCACAACCAACCCAAATTTACCATAACCACATGTTTTCCTCATACTTAAGAGTTTCGTATGCTTGAATGTTTCTGTGCATAAACATCTCTCTTCCCACTGGCAGGTTTGTAAGTCACTTAGGAATTTTTTCCCCTCTGCCATGCAGGCGTAATGCAGGCAGATATTTGTGATTTAGATGATATGGGAGGAGAACATTTGAAAAACAAATGTGGCTTCTTCAGAGTCTTTTTTTTTTCCCTCCACTTCAACAGGAAATGCCTTATTGGCTCAAACCAACCAGACCGCATGAAAGGAACTCTTGATAGATACCTGGGTGGAGATCTAAACTCAGGAGTTCTAAGTGATGTTGTCATCATTGTGAAAGACAAAGCAGCGAATGGAATTTGGCAGATACACAGCATCAGGTCTTCTTCCTTGTTTTTCTGATTTACAGAGGGACGAAACCAGCAGAGCGAATTGCGGTCCAACTCTTTCCTGTTCAGGTGCTGTTATGTTTCAAAGCCTACCTTGCAAAGCAAAACCCAGAGAGAGATTCATTTCTTTTCAAAGTCCTTAGCAACGTCGGACCCCAGTCGTGTGAATAAAGTGCTATTTAATTCTAGACCTGGGCTCACAAGCTCCCCGTCTAAATTAAGGAGAAATTCATGCACATCCTTTCAAACAGATCACAGTTTTGAATTCAGCCCCAGGAAGTTGCTTGTGCAGTCTCAGTATTATTAATATACAGCCCAGCTACAGTATGTTTTCCCTTTGAGACTAGAAATGGAATGGGGGGTGGGAGGAGACAGGGAATTTAGCTTAATAGCAATAGCAGTTAGACTTATATACCGCTTCATAGTGCTTTTACAGCCCTCTCTAAGTGGTTTACAAAGTCAGCCTATTGCCCCCAACAACCTGGGTCCTCATTTTACCCCCCTCGGAAGGATGGAAGGCTGAGTCAACCTTGAGCCTGGTGAAATTCAATCTGCTGAACTGCAACTAGCAGTCAGCTGAAGTAGCCTGCAGTACTGTACTCTAACCACTGTGCCACCTCAGCTCTCTAAGCCAGCTGTCACCAACCGGTGATCCGCGGACCATGAGAAAATTTTCGTGGTCTGCGGAAAAATTATTTGCATTTTTTTTATATTGCACTACATACTATTTATCTTTTTAAAAAATTCATATTAGTGGTCCGTAGGATTTAAAATTATGAATTTAGTGGTCCCTGAGGTCCGAAAAGTTGGCGACTCCTGCTCTACGCTACCAATGTGACAGCTGCATTAGCCAAATTCCCGTAAAACGCTGTGATGCTCCTTGGTAAGAAAGATTCGACGATTTTCTGTGGAAGGTTGCCACTTAGATCTGTCTGGAAGAAACTGAGCAGGCGGGTCTTATTTGGATCCCTGCAGAGAAAACAAGAACCCAAAAAAGGGAAGAGAAAGCAGTTCAGTAAAAATGGCATATATCTCCAGTGAGAACCAGTTTGGTATAGTGATTACAGGTGCAAAAGAAAGCGTGGGGAAACCTAACTGTTAATCCCTTCCTTAGGCACAAAGCCAGCTGCGTGATTCAATCCTAGGAAGAAAGTCCTGGGAAACAACTTCCAAAAGTGGTTGCCAAGAAAACAGCATGAACTGTCCAAGTAAGTCTCCAGGAATCAAGGTTGAATTGGAAGACTGTAACAACCATATATCTCAGCTAACCAGGCAGTGAAAACCAAACACCTTACTGGAATGGAATCACCTTGCAAAATTTTAAGGCCCAAAAAACAGGACGCTTTTTAGAAAGCTTCTACCGTATTTTTCGGAGTATAAGATGCACCGGAGTATAAGACGCACCTTAGTTTTTGGGGAGGAAAATAAGAAAAAAGCTGATTGGCAGGTGGATCAGCCTCCACAATACCCCAGTCAGCTGTTCCCAGAGGTGAATTTTAGCAACAGGTTCCTTGGTTGTGAGCTCTGTGCCTTGCTTTTTTTTTTTCTTTTTTTTTCTGCCTCTGAAACTTCTGAAACGCCGTTTCAGAAAAAACTTTTTCCTGCCTCTGAAAGTCTCCGAAACAGAGTTCAGAAAAAAAGCCTCTGAAGCTCTGTTTGGGGGCTTCTTTTCTGAAGCTTCTTTTCTGATGCTTTTTTTAGCCTCTGAAACCTCCGTTTGAGAAGTCGGGCAAGGCTACATTTGGAGTATAAGACACACCCAGATTTTCACCCTCTTTTTTGGGGGAAAAAGGTGCGTCTTATACTTCGAAAAATACGGTAAGTAGGTGATGGACCAAGCATCTCTCGATGGACCAAGAACACTTCTGCCTCACCTGGTATAGGTTTTATTTAAATGAAAAACAATGAGCAACGGATTGTGCCACAAATTCTGGCAATCTACCCAACTGCTGTTTCTCTTTATTTTTCTTTCTTCTGATACTTTGCCCTTTTCAACACTGGTTTTAGTTTACGTCAAAAGGAAATGGTAAGATGGAAGTTGACCCTGCTGCAAAATACCATCTTTATTTACAAAGAGGTGCTTATTAGACCTATGAAACAGTTAAAGCAGAGGTGAAATCCAGCAGGTTCTGACAGGTTCTGGAGAACCGGTAGCGAAAATTTTGAGTAGTTCAGAGAACCGGTAGCGGAAATTTTGAGCAGTTCAGAGAACCGGTAGCGGAAATTTTGAGCAGTTCAGAAAACCGGTAGCGGAAATTTTGAGTAGTTCAGAGAACCAGCAAATACCACCTCTGGCTGGCCCCAGAGTGGGGTGGAAATGGAGATTTTGCAGTATCCTTCCCCCAGGAGTGGGGAGGGAATTGGGATTTTGCAGTATCCTTTCCCTGGAGTGGGGTGGGAATGGAGATTTTGCAGTATCCTTTCCCTGCCATGCCCACCAAGCCACACCACACCACGCCCACCAAGCCACGCCTTCAGAACCGGTAGTAAAAAAAATTGAATTCCACCACTGAATTAAAGGCTTAAGAAAGGCCACACATTATTTCTTTTCCCAGTGCCTCCTTTTCATATTTATATATTTCTACAACTTCTGCGTGCCAAGAGCCACGCCCAGCCTAAGTTGTTTTATTCCATCATTGGAGATGCTAATGCGACGTGCCTGATGCTGTCCTCATGCTAACGGCATGACTTGACACATGCATCAAATGTGTTTACTGGTTTGTAATCGCTGGATTGCATGGACGGTGTTCATCACATGCGTGCTGTCCAGATAGGTGGCACCGTCGAGAAATGTTATGCACTCTTCCTCTTCCTCCTCAGTTTATTTTCTTTTCATCTCTTAGCTGGCCTGCTTCTGCACTATTAGAATGTCATCTTCAAGAGGACAGAAGCTATATATTTTGGAGGAGGCGGCATCCATAATTCATTTCCAAGCCATATCAATCTCAGCGACGTGAGTTGGTAATAAACTCATGTATGAAATAGTTATCCAAATAGCTGTTAATGCAAAGTATACACGTTCCTTTCTTATTTGTTTGTCAGATTTATCAGAGTTGCCCATCTCAGATTGCGACTCTTGATGGCATACGACAAAACAAACAAAACACATCTTAAGTATCTCTTTCCAATTTACCCACGTAAAGCTGGCCGCTTCCTGTAGAAAAACCACCTCCCTTAAACTGCCTGGCGGATGTTCAGTTAGGGTGTTGCGTAAGCTCTAATTTGGCAACAACAACAACCACAGCAGCAAAAGGTGTGTAAAACCCTTGAGCATTCTTGGCCTACAGGGTGGTGTCATCAAATATTTCCACGCATCTTACCCTGGAACAGGAATGAGAAAACAGCCGCAGGGAAAATTCAGGCCTCTCACGTAATTTGGCTGAGGTGGACTCAAGGGATGTTCCACGTTGGTTGCTATGAGGGAGGAACATTAAAAATTAAAATGGGGATTCCCTAGTGACAGGAGAAGCATTTATACGTATTAGGCCCGTGATGGCGAACCTATGGCATGGGTGGAGCCATATCAGTGGGCACGGAAGCATTGCCGTAGCTCAGTCCCAGCGTGCATGCGTGCACTGGCCAGCTGATTTTTGGGCCTTCCAGTCCCACCGGAAGTTGGGATATGGGCTGTTTCTGGCCGCTGGAGGGCCTCCGTGGAGGTGGGGAAGGCCATTTTCACCCTCCCCTGGCTCCTAGAAAGCCTCTGGAGCCTGGGGAGGGTGAAAAATTGGGCCCACCATGCCATTACGTGCTAAAAGCAGGGGTCGCAGGGGGCATGCGTGCATGCACGGGGCGTGGCACATTGAATTATAGGTATGGGCACGCACATGGGTGACCTCCCCGTGCTCCCCCCGCTTTTGGCACGCGACGGCAAAAAGGTTAGCCATCACTGTATTAGGCTGTTCTGACCTAGGCTTCCCAAAAGCACAAAGCCGACTCCTCGTCCTGATAAAACCCCTTTTATTTAGGTTAAAGGGAATTCCTCTCCAGCAAAGTCCCGGCCAACAGTCTTGCATGAGAGCATGACAACTACAGACCTTCTTTATCAGGCTTGGAGAGTTGCCAGGCTGATATCTTCCAAACGCCGCGCTGTAGAAGCAGCAATTAGATCTTTACCCTAATGAATTGAACTAATTGTCTCCTGCAAAGTATCCTTCCCTTTCTCCTCTTTATTCCCTAGGGGAGGGGCCATTCACCATCCACCGGTGGCTTTACTCCTGAGTCGACCTTTGTTTCTTAGCTGTTCCCTTCTCCTGGCAGCTTTGCGCATGCGCACACTGGGAACAGGCTCCAGATGTTCTTCTGCCCCACTGATGTCCGACTCCGAAGGCAGCTGATGACTGTCGGATGGCCCTGGCCCCATCTCTGTCTCTGACGTAAAGCACTCATCAGAGCCTTTTCGAGACTCCAGGACTGGCCCATGATCCCCCACCCCCCAGCCTCCTGACTGAAAGGTTTGGACCAAGCTTACCCACAGTCATTTTTGAGCCGTCCTCATTATGTTGGATCAGGACCACATCTAAGAACTCTCTTGGAGAGATCATGTTCATGAGAGCCGAGGGTGTAGTCGTTCGCAGGATACAAATGTCCTGAAATGGCACACACAGGTGGCAAGGATGTTTAGGACTCCTCTCATTCCAGTGGCAAAGCTAACGGTATATACTTCTACACGATAGACGTTTAACTAAATTTATCCAAGAATGGTACCCTTATATCATGGCATCCAACCCATCACACATTGTGGTAAATATAAATATAGACTGGATATTAAGGGGGACTGGATGATCATAATATATCACAAATCTGCAACTGTAAAAAAAGGGCTGAGTCAGAAACCAAAGGTTTTTTTTCTTCTTTCCTTTCCTTCTTTCCTTTCCTTTCCTTTCCTTTCCTTTCCTTTCCTTTCCTTTCCTTTCCCGTCCCCTCTCCTTCCTCTCTCCCTTCCTTTCTTCCTTTTCTTTCTTTCTTTCTTTCTCTTTCTTTCTTTCTCTTTCTTTCTTTCTTTCCTTCCTTCCTTCCCTTCCCGTCCCCTCTCCTTCCTTCCTTCCTTCCTTCCTTCCTTCCTTCTTTCTTTCTTTCTTTCTTTCTTTCTTTCTTTCTTTCTTTCTTTCTTCCTTCCTTCCTTCCTTCCTTCCTTCTTTTCTTTCCTTCCCTTTCTTTCTTTCTTTCTTTCTTTCTTTCTTTCTTTCTTTCTTTCTTCTCTCTCTCTCTTTCTTTCCTTCTTTCTTATGCTTACCCAACCAGTGTGTTTGCAGTCTCAATATCAGTAGATAATCAGTCAGCCACTGCAGTTTTAGCACAATACAAACAGACATCAATGCTTCCACCATTCCCTACATCCCAAAACATAATGGGAATTCCTTCGCTTCCCAATTACCCTACAATAGCCAGTGCTGGGTCCCAATAGCATCTTCCTTTCCTAGCTGTTTCTGGCTATAAGTAAAGACGTGTTATACTTACATTGTTTATGGATTCAACCACTACTTGTTTATTCACGTTCTCATCCCATTTTTCTCTAAGTCCACCAGTCTCTGGCTTTATACATTTAAACACATCCTCTGATTTTGCAGCTAAAACTCCTTCTGCTCTGTATCTTTTGAGAGAAGGTGGAAGAATGAGAGAAAGTCTTAGTGAATGAAGTAGGAGGGTGCTATTCCAGTCAAATTGCATTTTAAGCGTCCTCATTCAATAAATGGAGCCAGTTAAGGTGGTGGCCTAGAAACTGGGAGACTGTGAATTCTAGTGCCACGTTTGGGCATGAAAGCCACTGACCAGGGGTGGGCTTCAAAATTTTTTGCAAGGGGTTCTCTGCCCAGTTGCTGGGTGGGTGTGGCCATGGTGGGCATGGCCTAGTTGGCCTCCTGCACCACAGTGGGGGGAGGGTATTTTTGCCCCCCCCCCGGGCTTTGGAGGTTTTTCTTGAGCCTCCGGGAGGGCAAAAACAGCCTCCCCAGGCTCTAGAGGCCCTCTGGAGGCTGGAAACAGGCCTGTTTCCAGCCTTCCTGAACTTCCGGTAGCCGCTGCATGCATCCTGCACTTACCTGCATCCAAAACGGGCCGCGTGGGGACTCCTGGGAGGGGCGAGGCCAGCCAGGAGTGGGATTTGGGGGTTCTCCGAATTGCACAGAATCTTAGCTAGAGGTTCCCCCGAACCCCTAGCAACCCACCCCTGCCACTGACTGACTTTGGGCCACTCACTTTCTCTCAGCCCAAATCTCTTCACAGTGTTGTTGTTGTTGTGGGGTAAAGAGAAGGAGGAAGGAATAGTAGGTACATCCACCACCTAGAGTTACATACAAAGTAACAAAGGTGGGATAAAACTCAAATAAATAAAAATGAGTACATCTGCATGTAATATATTAGCATTCCGAGCATTTGTCTGCTTTTTAAATTGCAAGGAAAATGTTTTATACAGAACACTGAAGAAAGTAGCACCTCACCTAAGCAAAATCCTCAGTTACTTAAATAAATACACATTTACAGTTCTGTATTTCATCATAATTAAGCTTTCTAAGGATGGCGCATTTTTACATCTTTGGGATAAGTCATGTTTTATAAGATCAGCTATTTATAACTGTATGAGGCAGCAAATCAGTTTGCATCATACCTTACGTTACACAATATTCTTCTTTATCATTAAGTTTAAAACTTTCTTCTCCAAAAGAAAAAATAAAATAACAAAAAGCTATGACTGATATGTATGAAAAGCTTATGTTGGACATTTGCTTAATTAGAACTCTCTTTTCTTCTCTTCCATTACTGGAACCTTCTCCTTTTTGTGTTTCATCTACCAGTTTATTGAGTATGGTGTTCAGATTTTAAAAACACAGAACTAAAATTAGCAATAAATAAGTCATAAATGGCATCTTAGAGATCCATTTATCCCCCCCAGAACTTTACCTAAATGCTGTTTTGCTTCCAGTATTTTACTTACAGGTTTCCATGAAATATATTTGAAGGTCTCCAAGATATTGTGACGTTATTCTAGAAAGACATTTAAAAAAAAAAATCAGATACAATCAACTGCATTATTGTTGCATGCTGAAACTGAATGAGGTTTTATTCAACCTTAATGTTTTTTGAATATGTTAAGAATACATTTTCAGCAGAAATGGACAAATTAACGCTGAGTTTAAAAGATAAAGAGATATCGATATTTTACAATGTGTGGGAACAGTGGTATAACTAGATAGAACGGAGATAGATTGAAGATAAATAGTTATTAAGTACAAGTAATTGCTTAAAAAAATGTAAATACGCACAGTTTAATTTTTGTAAATAATGCATGAACTATTGTGACAAGAAAAACACTACAATTAGCTGTTGTTGAGTGAAATATTTTTTTATGTTTTTAATGTAATAAAAGTTTAATAAAGTGTTAAAAAAAAGAATACATTTTCAGCAAGTAATGCTAAGAGACTTAAACAACAAACAACACCCACAAGGCTTGTCTCGTGTCAAATAAAAATAAATAAATTTGCTTAAAGCAACTAGATTTTTCATTAGCCATGACTAACTTTCCCTTTCAACAGACCTTCTTTCAACATGAGTAATTCTGGATTTGGTTCTGTTGAAACCGAAAGGCCCTGAGGAGATAATCCTCAATTTACGACCACAATTGAGCCCAAAATTTCGATTGCTATCAAGACAGTAGTTAAGTGAGTTTTGCCCCATTGTATAACCTTTCTTGCCACAGTTGTTAAGTGAATCACTGCAGTTGTTAAAGTTAGTAATACGGTTGTGAAGCGGATCCAGCTTCCCCATTAACCGTGTCAGAAAGTTACAAAATATGATCATAAAAATCACTTTTTTCAGCGCCGTCGTAAACTTCAAATGGTCATTGAACAAAGGATGTTAAGAAAGAACTACTAGTATCCTTTTGCACTATTTGTGGACTATAATACAAAATAGTGACACAGCTTGGGCCAGTCATGCTCTCTTAGCCCAAGATAATTCACAGGGCTGTTGTGTGGAAAATAGGACGAGGACAGAGTATTATGGTGTGTGTTTGCCACCTAGAATTACTTACAGAGTGATAAAGGTGGGGTAAAAATATAATAATAATAATCATAGTAATAATGTGAGGAGGAGGAGGAGGAGAAGAGGAAGAGGAGGAAGAGGATCTCAAGGGCTGTTGTGTGGAAAATAGGAGGAGGAAGAAGTATCATGTGTGTTTGCCACCTTGAATTACTTACAGAGTGATAAAGGCGAGGTAAAAATGTAATAATAGTAATAATAGTAATAATGTGAGGAGGAGGAGGAGGAGGAGGAGGAGGAGGAGGAGGAGGAGAGGAAGAGAAAGAGGAGGAGGAGGAAGAAGAAGAAGAAAAAGAAGAAGAAGAAGAGGAAGAAGAGGAAGAGGATCTCAAGGGCTGTTGTGTGGAAAATAGGAGGAGGAAGGAGTATCATGTGTGTTTGCCACCTTGAATTACTTACAGAGTGATAAAGGCGGGGTAAAAATATAATAATAGTAGTAATGTGAGGAGGAGGAGGAGGAGGAGGAGGAGGAGGAGGAGGAGGAGGAAGAAGAAGAAGAAGAAGAAGAAGAAGAAGAAGAAGAAGAATTATTTCCACTACCGCTTCTCCAGAACCTGTCAGAACCTGCTGGATACAGTTCCCATAATCCCCTGTCAAGGGGGTTCAGATTTTTTTCTTTTAATTTAAATTTAACGTTAGAATGCAGAGCTGGGCCAAGGATGGGAAAGATATTAGCAGTGCACCAGTTTGTGAATAGATTGACATTTCTTCACAGGAGGATTTAAAAGGAAGTTGGAAGGCCTCTGAGGGAGATGTGGTAACCCTGGGTGAGGGGTTGGACTAGATGACCTCTGGGGACCCCTTCCAACCTTTTCATTCTAGGATTCCATAAAAGAATAAATTAGCCAAAGTTATGGGTTATTAACCTTGCTTAGCATGCTGTGGGAATGCATCTGCCAGATCTTCATTGACTTGGTTAACAGTGGACTGGAATAATGTCACTCAATCCTTCATGACAGTGTTTCTCAAAGCTTGGCAGCTTGAAGACTTGGGGACTTCAGTTCCCAGAATTCCCTAATTAGTTATGCTGGCTGGGGGATTCTGGGAGTTGAAGTCCACAGGCCTTCAAGCTCACAAAATTGAAAAACACCAAATGAAGCAATACAGAAAATTGTAACTCTTTAGTGCCATCTCCTGGGTGCGTGAATGTTGCAACCCAAATAGAATAATGTATACAATGAAGGGATGTCCATAGGATGGGGGCAAAAAGGTCAAGATGGCTGCTCCACTTGCCACCATCTTGGTTTTTTGGCCTATCTCTGCCAGGGTTCTCTCATGACACCAAACCTTTCTTTTTCTCCTTTATTTAAGTCTTTATATATTTTCTTCTTTATTCAGACTTTCTCTGACAGACCCAGGAGCAAAATCTTAGCTTCAGCCCCATTTCTGTACTTTCTTCAGACTGCACCCTGTATCTGAGTCTCTTTTTCCTTCATTGTTTTTTGTCTGTTGAAGCTCAGTAAGCAGAATTGTGTGAGGAACTTCCTAAAATACTAAATTAACTTTTGGGGTCATGTTTTAACCAAGGATGTCCACAGCAGTTTAAAAAAAGTCAAGAGGCTGACAGTAGCTGAGTTTTTAGATTTTTCAGGGTTTTTTTATTTTACATATTTTATATTCTTTCTAGTTTTTAAAGCTTTTTACTGTTTTTTAAAAGTAAAAGCTTAAAAATCTTTTAAAGCTTTTACTGTTTTTATTTATTTATTTAATTCTGGTAAATAAAATACTATTTTTATTCTATTCTTCCTATGCCGATCTACAACAATGATAAATATTTTACTTGACTACACCTGTATGATTGAAGCCCTACCCCCCTTTTTAATGGAGGTGTGGCCTCAATCCCGCAGGCAGAGCTGAGCTGCCATTTTGACTTCTTTGACCTCTCTTGGGTTTGGCCTTGATTTGAACAGATTAGTTTTACTAATTCAATGAAAGGGCTGATCCCATCTTGACCTTTGTGATGCCATAACATAGGGGAAGGGAATACCATATTTAGATTTTTTTTTTATGGGAAGATGTCAAAATTCAAACAGAGTAATGGGGAGGGTGTCAGAAATGGTGGCTATGATGATGCAATCATGTCTTACTTGGATCATGCATGCAGAACACATGTAAAAATGACATGTCATGTCTGCAAGAAGCCATCTTAATTTTTTTAACTTTTGCAGTCTCAATATCAGTAGATAATCAGTCAGCCACTGCAGTTTTAGCACAATACAAACAGACATCAATGCTTCCACCATTCCCTACATCCCAAAACATAATGGGAATTCCTTCGCTTCCCAATTACCCTACAATAGCCAGTGCTGGGTCCCAATAGCATCTTCCTTTCCTAGCTGTTTCTGGCTATAAGTAAAGACGTGTTATACTTACATTGTTTATGGATTCAACCACTACTTGTTTATTCACGTTCTCATCCCATTTTTCTCTAAGTCCACCAGTCTCTGGCTTTATACATTTAAACACATCCTCTGATTTTGCAGCTAAAACTCCTTCTGCTCTGTATCTTTTGAGAGAAGGAGGAAGAATGAGAGAAAGCCTTAGTGAATGTAGTAGGAGGGTGCTATTCCAGTCAAATTGCATTTTGAGTGTCCTCATTCAATAAATGGAGCCAGTTAAGGTGGTGGCCTAGAAACTGGGAGACTGTGAGTTCTAGTGCCACGTTTGGGCACGAAAGCCACTGACCAGGGGTGGGCTTCAAAATTTTTTGCAAGGGGTTCTCTGCCCAGTTGCTGGGTGGACGTGGCCATGGTGGGCATGGCCTAGTTGGCCTCCTGCACCACGGTGGGGGGAGGGTATTTTTGCCCTCCCCGGGCTTTGGAGGTTTTTCTTGAGCCTCCGGGAGGGCAAAAACAGCCTCCCCAGGCTCTAGAGGCCCTCTGGAGGCTGGAAATAGGGCCGTTTCCAGCCTTCCTGAACTTCCGGTAGCCGCTGCATGCATCCTGCACTTATCTGCATCCAAAACGGGCCGCGTGGGGACTCCTGGGAGGGGCGAGGCCAGCCAGGAGTGGGATTTGAGGGTTCTCCGAACTGCACAGAATCTTAGCTAGAGGTTCCCCCGAACCCCTAGCAACCCACCCCTGCCACTGACTGACTTTGGGCCACTCACTTTCTCTCAGCCCAAATCTCTTCACAGGGTTGTTGTTGTGGGATAAAGAGAAGGAGGAAGGAATAGTAGGTACATCCACCACCTAGAGTTACATACAAAGTAACAAAGGTGGGATAAAACTCAAATGAATAAAAATGAGTACATCTGCATGTAATATATTAGCATTCCGAGCATTTGTCTGCTTTTTAAATTGCAAGGAAAATGTTTTATACAGAACACTGAAGAAAGTAGCACCTCACCTAAGCAAAATCCTCAGTTACTTAAATAAATACACATTTACAGTTCTGTATTTCATCATAATTAAGCTTTCTAAGGATGGCGCATTTTTACATCTTTGGGATAAGTCATGTTTTATAAGATCAGCTATTTATAACTGTATGAGGCAGCAAATCAGTTTGCATCATACCTTACGTTACACAATATTCTTCTTTATCATTAAGTTTAAAACTTTCTTCTCCAAAAGAAAAAATAAAATAACAAAAAGCTATGACTGATATGTATGAAAAGCTTATGTTGGACATTTGCTTAATTAGAACTCTCTTTTCTTCTCTTCCATTACTGGAACCTTCTCCTTTTTGTGTTTCATCTACCAGTTTATTGAGTATGGTGTTCAGATTTTAAAAACACAGAACTAAAATTAGCAATAAATAAGTCATAAATGGCATCTTAGAGATCCATTTATCCCCCCCAGAACTTTACCTAAATGCTGTTTTGCTTCCAGTATTTTACTTACAGGTTTCCATGAAATATATTTGAAGGTCTCCAAGATATTGTGACGTTATTCTAGAAAGACATTTAAAAAAAAAAATCAGATACAATCAACTGCATTATTGTTGCATGCTGAAACTGAATGAGGTTTTATTCAACCTTAATGTTTTTTGAATATGTTAAGAATACATTTTCAGCAGAAATGGACAAATTAACGCTGAGTTTAAAAGATAAAGAGATATCGATATTTTACAATGTGTGGGAACAGTGGTATAACTAGATAGAACGGAGATAGATTGAAGATAAATAGTTATTAAGTACAAGTAATTGCTTAAAAAAATGTAAATACGCACAGTTTAATTTTTGTAAATAATGCATGAACTATTGTGACAAGAAAAACACTACAATTAGCTGTTGTTGAGTGAAATATTTTTTTATGTTTTTAATGTAATAAAAGTTTAATAAAGTGTTAAAAAAAAGAATACATTTTCAGCAAGTAATGCTAAGAGACTTAAACAACAAACAACACTCACAAGGCTTGTCTCGTGTCAAATAAAAATAAATAAATTTGCTTAAAGCAACTAGATTTTTCATTAGCCATGACTAACTTTCCCTTTCAACAGACCTTCTTTCAACATGAGTAATTCTGGATTTGGTTCTGTTGAAACCGAAAGGCCCTGAGGCGGTAATCCTCAATTTACGACCACAACTGAACCCAAAATTTCTGTTGCTATCAAGACAGTAGTTAAATGAGTTTTGCCCCGTTGTACGACCTTTCTTGCCACAGTTGTTAAGTGAATCACTGCAGTTGTTAAAGTTAGTAATACGGTTGTGAAGCAGATCCAGCTTCCCCATTAACCGTGTCAGAAAGTTACAAAATATGATCATAAAAATCACTTTTTTCAGCGCCGTCGTAAACTTCAAATGGTCATTGAACAAAGGATGTTAAGAAAGAACTACTAGTATCCTTTTGCACTATTTGTGGACTATAATACAAAATAGTGACACAGCTTGGGCCAGTCATGCTCTCTTAGCCCAAGATAATTCACAGGGCTGTTGTGTGGAAAATAGGAGGAGGACGGAGTATTATGGTGTGTGTTTGCCACCTAGAATTACTTACAGAGTGATAAAGGTGGGGTAAAAATATAATAATAATAATCATAGTAATAATGTGAGGAGGAGGAGGAGGAGGAGGAGGAGAAGAAGAGGAAGAGGAGGAGGAAGAGGAAGAAGAGGAAGAAGAGGAAGAGGATCTCAAGGGCTGTTGTGTGGAAAATAGGAGGAGGAAGAAGTAT